TATTGTGGTAGTGAAATCCCAAGGTGCCAAGATTCTGTGACACCAGCACAGAACTCTTTTGAAAGAATCTGCATATCTCGGATGCACCCGATCGCGTCGAAGTGGCATGATGAGTCCTCATAATCAATATTCTCCGGATTGTACTTGTCGTTTCGTTTTCCATCTCATAACGAGTTTGGTAGTACCGTATTTTTGCCCCTCCTTCAACCACACATTGCCACTCGGACCTCCACGGCGCCAATAAGATATATTCCCACGACTATGTGATCACGGATTGAGATCGGACTGCGGATTCCATTAGTGCACTCCATTAAGCAACTCTCGAACGAGACCTTGGACGCTTTTCAGGATGATGTTAACATCTTTCGACAGGGGAGCCAACTGATAGTCGCAACTTTTCACGTCAGTAAACACTGAACAACTGTCATTCAACTCAAGACTGTAACTTCCAATTCTGAGAATTGAATTCTGCCGAAACTCGTGCTCCGTTCGAGCATCATGCTGCCTCCACAACAATCTCGGATCAAATGATGCCCCCTATTGCTCGACAGCCCTCACTATCGAAAACCATGTATTATGCGAAGCTGAGCATCTGCAACGTGTGTGGACCAGTCCGTACCTGCATTCAATGAATGAGATTAATGGGGCGGACTAAAAGAACGTTTGGAGAGTGTACATGCAAGTATCGTCGTGTATGAAGTAGCGATGATAGAGGCACCAACTGCAAAACCCATCCACATTCCATCGACACCATATCCTGCTTCAACCTATGAGGACAAGTAAAACGTGGTTACCTCAGAAGTGAAGGAAATTTCGGGAAATCGAGAATGTGAGATTTTGCCTTGGGACTGTCTTACCGATAGTAGATATCCAAGAGGTAACATGATAATATAATAGCTGATAATGTTCACTGGGACAGCATATCGTTGTATACCTATAGTTTGCAGTCTTGCCGAAAAGGATGGCGTTATTGAGAGCCCACCTAAACCTTTGAATACTCCCTGCAGACAGCTCTGAGTGAAGTCGAAGGGTAGGATAATGCATAGTAGCGGCCGTACTAGATATAACTCATAGGCCGCTACCTGATGGATGTTGAAATAGCTGTAAGCTGTTGGGGTGCTCGAGAAGCCCACATCGGGTTCCTTCTCGGCGTAAAGCCGGACTATTGAGTCTCTGAAGGTACATAGGAGAAGTACAACGACGATGATCATCGATCCACCAATCACGATGCCTGACTTGCAGTAACTGATAAGAGTAAGTACCGACTATTCTCATGTCACCCCCATGCATACAGTTTCGCCAGATGCAGATCACCAGCCCCAACCGCGCTCCCCACCTTAGCGCTGAGGCCAGTTTGGATGCCGTAGCTCAACATGAACATCTGTTATAAAGTTGTGTGAGCTCGATGAGGGACAGCTTACAATAACGAAGAGGTTGCAGATCGAAACATGTGCTGCCAATTGATTGGAGTCACGCAATAGACCGACGATCTGAAGGATACATCTACATTTTCTCCGAGGCTTAAGAGACTAGGTACCAGAGTAGCAATCTCATATGCCCACCATTCTGAGCATAAGGTAATCATAGAAGGTATACCAATCTTGAGGTATTCCCACCATCCATAGAACATACTCCAAGTGAATGTTGGTAGAGCATCTCGAGGTATAGCTGTGATAGAGGGATTCCACATAGCAAATATAATATATCTACACCCAAGATGATAATATCATCATATCGACACTTTACTACTACTACTCACAGTATGCCGAGTAGCCAACATCCCGTGAATGTGAGAGTCATTGCTACACCTGCACCAGCCAGACCTGATGATGGTGTAACCAATAGGTAACACCAGAGTACCTTCAACAGACATACCATCAATACGATGCTTTATAGCGTACATGGAGTGCTGCTGTTATAGCATATATCCAAGTACATATATGAGGATGATGATAACATAATAAAAACCTCATAATACAGTCGTATTGTATAGCAGGCCATATACCTATACTCGCACTATTAACCTGATAATGATATGACCATACAACGACAAGCAGTTTCACGGGACCTGAAACTTGATCACAGTGTAGCGTACTTACATATTTCATGGCGTGGTTGGCAATGATAGGATCTTGGCCAAAAAGAGTTAGGAAGACTTCAGTGAATTGTAGCAGTCCAAATAAAAGCGTCTGAGGATAGAAACAATCCATACTCAGAAGAGGTAAGGTAATCCACCGATAAAGCAGCCGCAATCATCATGCCACGAGCCATACTGGTTGCTGCTAATCTGTGATGGCCCTGGCCTCGACCTGATATATATTCTCAATACATTGCGTTTTAGGGAAAGGAACCAACTCTGCGAAACTAAAGTCTCAATAGCTTGGTTCATGCCATACCCACAGGATACACCACCAATGTTGAAGACCTGTCATGTGGGATTCTCACCATTCAGGTAAGGTTTGAGCTTGGCGGCTTACCAAAGTAGCTAGGCCGACTCCTGCTACCATATCTGCATCACCAACTCTACTTATGAAGTATACATTGATGGTTTGTGGTATGTAATTGAGCACCATGGAAACTACCTACGATAGGTGATACCTCGGTAGAGCAGCTAGTATGCTACTTGAGGTCCCCCGATACTCGCTAGAGACTTTATGCATGTCGCCAATCCCTGGGATTTGAGGCGATTAGGTGGGAGAACCAATAGGGGCTGTGGTAATTCATAGTTCATAATGAGTGTGGCAGATGAGAGAAACTAATGGTATCATATATAGGGATTATGGCTTATATAGGAGCTACAAACCTGCCAAGCCCTGGTGACGAACAAGACGCCATTAATCTCCCAAAGGAAGCCCTTACATCATTAACATGAGTGAGAATGGAAAGCAATACGGGAGCAGCGGAGAGGATCAGATCTTCATCATCTAGGGTATTTGAGAGAACGCTATGTGCACTTGGGCGTCGGAGCGACGCGTGTGAGGGTATAAGTGCGAGTCGTGAAGGACATGCACTTGATACTGCTGTTGCGTTTGTCTTTGGGATCAACCACTGAGCCAAGCTCCGCAAATTTCTCAGGACACGGCATTGTGTTGCTGATAAGGATTTGAACGCGACGTAGAAAGGCAGAAGAAACATGTGGGAGATAAGTCATACATTCATAGTGCTTCTTATGGGATAAACGGTAACAGCAGCAGGCAAGCATTATAACCACTCCACAGTAGGATCATGGCAGCGAGCGGTACACACCTTAAATACAGTATGCCGTATAGAGTTGGAATAGCTAATGAAGCATATCCCAACATGTTTGGGTGGCAAACAAGAAGGAGAAGGAGCAATCACAAAGCTCTCTTAATTCTAACGTGAGCCGCATCCATGTGCTTCGACCAGTCAGTACCTACTACTAAAAATAATGAGGAGGAGCTCAGTGGAATTACCCTCAACCTACTTCTGAGTATTATAGAATATGATGATGCTACACCAGCAACGCTGACAATGAACGCCATCCACATCCCATATACACCGAGCTCGAAATGTATCTGTGGGAGGTTACCAATAGAAGAGGAGTGAAGTCCTCCTACACAGAGGAGGTAACCCAATGGCAACATGCAGAGATAATACGAACAGAGGTTTACTACTGCCGCATACCGCTGGATACCTGATAATAGGCGACGATATCCATGAATCATAGAGAGTGATAGTAATGGCTACTACTCACCTAGGCCCTTGAAGACTCCTTGCATGCAAGCCTGGGCAAAATCAAAAACCTCTTGTATGCCAAGATAGGGGAAGATCAGAACTGTGAGGTATCCTGATACCTGACGTACACTTATTGCTACCATCGATGACGACGATGGTTATCACCTCTGGCTCGCGGGCCGCATAGAAACTCGCGATGGTGCTCCGGAAGGTGATGAGGGTGAGCTCAATAACGACAAGCATACATCCTCCCATAAGGGTTGCACACTTGCAATACCTGAGATAATACCGATTCATCATCGACCATACTGAAAAGCTGACATCCTCGCCAGATACAAGTTGCCAGAGCCCACCGCTGCACCAATCTTGGCACTGAGGCCTGCCTGTAGACCATAGCTGACCATGAACATCTATAAAGAGGCACAATAACACAGCATTCGAAGACGCCTCGGTACACTGTACTACCAGCACTGACACGTTACATACAGATACATGGGCAGCGAGCTGAGCTGAGTCCTGGAGGAGGCCGACTATCTGCCAAGTAAGTGAATGACGGTAGCAGTAGTGGGACTAGGTACCAGTGTAGCTATCTCATATGCCCACCATTCGGAGCATAAGGTAATCATAGAAGGTATACCAATCTTGAGGTATTCCCACCATCCATAGAACATACTCCGAGTGAATGTTGGTAGAGCATCTCGAGGTATAGCTGTGATAGAGGGATTCCACATAGCAAATATAATATATCTACACACATTATGATAATATCATCATATTGACACTTTACTACTACTACTCACAGTATGCCGAGTAGCCAACATCCCGTGAATGTGAGAGTCATTGCTACACCTGCACCAGCCAGACCTGATGATGGTGTAACCAATAGGTAACACCAGAGTACCTTCAACAGACATACCATCAATACGATGCTTTATAGCGTACATGGAGTGCTGCTGTTATAGCATATATCCAAGTACATATATGAGGATGATGATAACATAATAAAAACCTCATAATGCAGTCGTATTGTATAGCCGGCCATATACCTATACTCGCACTATTAACCTGATAATGAGTTCTAGAAGGGCTAGTGAGGGGAGCACTGACATAATCCATAGCATGTCTAGCCACCACAGGATCCTGGCCAAGGAATTTGAGGACGATCTCAGTGAATTGTAGGACGATGAATAGGATTGTCTGATAGCAGAGGTGGCATTATCATAGAGGTATTGATATACTGATAAGAGCAGGCCTATACACATCCCTTTGGCCATGTGTATCGAAGCCAACCGATGCCCACTGTTCCCACGACCTGGAGTATGAATAACATCTGCAGGAGCAAGAAGGTTTACTCACTCTGCGATACTAGAGTTTCTATTGCCTGGTTTATGCCATACCCACAGGACACTCCCCCTATGTTGAAGACCTGCATGATATCGTGCATGCTATAGCGATATACTACGAGAAGGCTCACTAGGTTAGCAAGACCAACTGCTGCTAACATGTCAGCGTCGCCCAATCTACTGATGAATAAAACGTTGATGGTCTGTGGTAGGTAATTCAATACCATTGATACTACCTGACAACATGCAGTTGTCCGCTATATGTGAATTGATGCCTACCTGCGGTGCTGCTATGATTGCCAGGTTGTAGATACATGTTCTCAGCTTCACTTCCTCCTCCCTTTCGGCGATGGGGAGAAGGCTTTCTGATGTGCCATTCATTGACGATCCCGATGTGGTAAGAAATAGTTCGACGATGAGTCGAAGGGATGGTATGGAGATATGCACCAATGCTCTCGATATTCCCTAATTTATCACACAACGAGGAGGCCGAGGAAACTGTGAACCAAAAGTGAGGGAACTCGAAAGGTGCAATGGTTGCGCAAATCATACATGGAGAGTATACAAGTATCTTTCCTGAGTGGTAGGGTCTATGTCTAGCCATACCAATCCTTCTCGCAATAATGATGATGATGCAATGTTAGTACGCTCAGGTGTCCAGTCTAGCTGCCTCGCTAACCTGTAATATGATATGCATCCGATATCGCAAGGTAGCATTACTCGCTGACGGATACGTGCCCTCCTCGGGAGACTATCAAGCTGATAGCTGCAGTCTGATCAGCATTGAAGGCATCTGGGACGGAGCTGATGAAGGTCCTACATGATGATGATGACACATATGAGAGTAAGCATGACGGTAATGCTTCCTACTACTTCCCTCTCTCTCCCCATACTATGCTCACACCTCCGGCACCTAGTACTGACAGTTCTGATATCGCCTTAGTCACATCTTCCCTAACAGGAACATCACTAGTTCATGAACCTTTTACTACTATTATCACCTGGAGATGGTATCGGACTTAGCAGCACGAACCTTCCTGAGCATTGCTAAACAGTCATCCATGTCCAATAGCCCACCATTATCCTCACGCGTTGTCAGACAGAGGGTTAGTATCTACCAGTGTCACACCTTCGGAGTGCATAGCGGCGATGTGCATCTCTACCTGCACACCTAGTTCGGCATAGAAGCGCCCGAGCCCGAGCATTGATCCAAACACTGACTTCGTGGCTAACACCAGTGTCGATGGATAATGATACCGATAGACCTTCCTTACACTGCAGAGGGTCTACACCCACTGATTGGCACATACCCAGGAACTGTGAACGGAAGATGGGATCCTTCTCTATCTTGGACCGATATTTCGTGGCGAATTCCTAACACGACAACGGTAACGCGCTGCTGCTGGTGCTTCTCTAGAGCGATGGTCGCTACCTGCAGCCTTGCCTTGAATGTATCACATTGTCCCTTAACTGTCTCTAGCCTAACTGTTTCTAAAGACTCACCGATACTCTCCATCTTTCTCTGATGATCATGAGGTTAGTTATCTATGATGCTCTACATAGTAGTACTACATTCTCCTGCCTTCGACGGGCTACTCCAGCTGCGCCCAAGCCACCACGACGCATTACGAATACCCAATAAAAACTAAGGCTTGGTTCGTGTAGTGTATGGTCGACCTTATGCAAGACAGGTCTAATCTAAGATACTGCTGCTTCATCAAATCCATGGTGCTACTATCGATGGAAGTATTGACCAACTTACTACTCACACAACAGGACGTCTATCGCAAACACGCATATCAGTACTACCGGGAGCAACCATTATCACTGTAAGCCTAGTTGTGTACTACCTACCAAAAACACTACCTTTGGTAGGTCCTGGAAAGGGCCTTCATCACTACTATTGGACCTCTTCATTATGCATCGCTTAGTCCACGATACATGATGAAAGCCCGTAGTAAAGCACTGTGATCGTCGTCGTCGTCAGTAAGGACGCAACTTGTCTATCATCACTAAGATTCAGCAACCGTGAATCGATGAAGAATTTATCATCACTCGACAGAATAGTGCAACAGGCTCAGAGGCTTCTTACGTTTGTGAGATTGGGATTCTAACTTTCAAATTCACTAATCTTAACGGATTAGTCAAGAAGGCCCATACGTCAGTCGTGAAGTCCAAAACAGCTATGGGCGAGCGCGATTTTTCGTGGCGCAGTGACACAATTATGATGGTATAGCGCAAGATTCATGTCGAAGATGATCTGTGGCAACAGGCATCCTGTTCCAGAGTTGAAGTGGGTCACCAGGAATAGGAGGATATGCTCGTGTTAGGAGGCTGCGGTGGTATTCCCTACATCAATGCTTCCTACTCCTATTACTCCTGCTAGTGGTCATCATCAGCACCACCATAGTGTGGACTTGAGTAATCAGAAGGATCTATCTAAACTACGCAGTAGCTCGTGCATTGCTAGAGGATATCAAGAAGATGAGGACGAATTAGGTAGTAGTAGCAGCATCGTCGAAAGAGTTATCCTCATTACTATAAGCCAGGCTCGCCTGGGTTGGCATGGGTCCGTCATGGGGGCAAGAGGTGTGATCCAAATATGGGCACACCCCATTCGGACGTTATAGAGTCCACATTAACAGACCTATATCAAATTACTATGGCATATGCTTATTGGTAGTAGCGATGTACCACAAGGTGATGAGCTACTACTGCTATTTAGGCAAGCAGCTAAGACCGAAGACCATGCAGTCTTTGACGTCTACTTCCGCAAGTGCCCCTTCAACGGCGAGTTCGTAGTCTGTGCTGGTAGGGACATATAACGACTGCACTAGTACTAGTATGGCTACACCCCTTTGGTAGGTATAGACGAGGTTGTGAGGTTTGTCAATACGTTCTGTTTCACTCCAATGAATATAGAGTATTTGAAGGTGAGTACTACTATTGCTACCCTCTGTTAGTATCTACATCGGGCAGACCCAACTTCCTACTGCATCCGATGAGTTCTTCCAATACCTCCTCACACTAGATGCTAAGGACGTTACCATACATGCTGTCAGAGAAGGCGACGTAAGGCGTGTATGCCGTCTTGCTCCTACATACCACACCTTTAGTTTGTATTCCCGCGGGAGCCGGTCCTACGTGTTGCTGGCCCACTCATTGTATGCCAGCTGCTGGAGACAGGCATACTCACTCTCCTCAACTTCCCCTGTCTTGTGAGTAGTATCGGCCTCCCCTTCCCTCTAATGAACTCTCCTTACTATAGATAGCCACACAGGCAGCGAGGTTACGTATAGCTGCTGGCGACTCGGCTAGGCTCATGGAGTTCGGTTGTCGTCGAGCCCAGGGTCCAGATGGAGCTCTCTCGGCCAGTCGCTACGCCTACATTGGAGGCTTTGATGGTAGTAGTACACCCCTTATCTATCCTAGTCCTACCATGCATCAGCCACATCCAACGTTAAAGCTGGTCATGCATTCGACATACCCCTGGGTGGTACACATGCTCATGCCTTCGTGACTAGCTTCCATGGACTTGAGGATCTTGATCATCCCTGCAGGCCACCAGACACGAGTAATTATAACCCCAACCCGAGGTATAAGTCTTGACTATCCTTATTAGATGATCCTCTTTCTGCTCGTGTAAGAAGCAAAGAATTTGAGCAGGCCTGCGTACGAGCCAGGATAGACCTCTGCATTGCCTTAGATTTGAGGGTACTAGCTTATGTCGTTCATGTTCTTGAACCCTTCGCACAGGTCGAGATGTGTAATGATGGCGAACTAGTGGCGTTTATACGCTACGCCCAGGCCTTCCCATCGGCCTTCCTTGCACTAGTTGATACCTTCGAGACTTTATCTTCTGGCATCCCCAACTTCATCAGTGTTGCCCTTGGTCTATGGAGGATCGCCTCTTCCAAGGCCATAGGGATACGTCTAGACAGTGGCGATTTGGCGTAGGTCCTCCTCCTCCTCCTCTCCTAAGCCCTCAGTCCTGCTCTATTCTGCATTCATCTCAGGTATCTCAGTATCAAGACTCGAGAGCTCTTCCTTCGTGCTGGTGATGCTTTCGAATCTGAGGGATTCTCCTTCATAAAAACCAGTGAGTGTTGGTATGTCAATTCATTGCTATCAATTGTGGTTTTCTTGTAGCTACTATAGTAGTATCCAATGATATTAACGAGGATGTGATGATATCCCTCAAGGAACAGAAGCATTGTATCGATTCATTCGGCATTGGTGAGAGAATTCTACTGCTTATCCATTGGACGTGTAATAGCAGGCACCAATCTGGTGACTTGCCAAGCTCAACCAGCACTGGGGATGGTGTGGGTCTGTATGTCTGCTACTTCACTTGAGCTCATTCTTGGTAGATACAAACTAGTTGAGTTGAATGATCAGCCTAAGATGAAGTTATCTCAAGACATAGCCAAACAGGGAATCCCATCGCGGAAGGCGCTATTCCGTCTGTACTACTATTATCGAATGCAACACTGTGTTATGACCTTTTGTTGTGGTAGTTACGGTATGGATGGTATCCCTATACTAGACTTGATGCAAGGGGTTGATGAGCCGGAGCCGAAGCCCCATGAGAGGGTATTCTGTCGCCACTTGTTCGACGAGCAAAAGAGGTAGTATATTCGACACTTGCTATCACGATCATCATTCACTCCTCACAGATGCTATGTGAGACCTGAACGAGTTAAGAATATGCTCGTTTGTATTTGGGATCATGGTATTGATAGACTTCTATCACCCGCACCATTTCGATGCTGTAGGTAAAGCCAGTCACCTGTCATTATCCCCTAAGACAGCAGGAGGGGACCGTCCGGACATCCATAGTGCCAGGGAACAGTTCGATAAGGTCAGGCGGTCCTTTAGACAGGATCATCTTAGGCCCGTTAACCCCACACCGTAAGTTCACACACTTCATCTTCATGTTGTATTGCGACGATAAGGTACAAAGTGAGCACCTCTGGGGAGTTCTTTGATTTCTATCGACAATTCTGGCAGGAGACGGTACCAGTCAGAGAGTTCAGTTAATTTTTATTAGATCATAGTTCTATTGATTAGACACAAACAATGCTGACGGTCGAGTTCGAGTCAGCAGGTTGTTCATGCATGACCTCAACACGCAGTAATCAAAGTCCAACGCGATGATACGGCTTAGTTGGACTAGCATCGATGCATATCAACTCACGAGGGATCAGGGCGAGGCAACTGCTTAGAGTGACCATCTATTCCCGGTATAACCCACTTCCACAATTACAGGAGCTCTCCAAGACACTGTGCGATGATTATTGTATCGAGATCGATGCACTTCCCGTTCTACCTCGTGTGAACTCTCCAATGTGGGATCGTTGTATGATAAACTTGTACCCCTGTGCTACGATAAGGAAAACCCTCCAAATTTCGTGGCAAACTTGATTGCACTATGGTCACTGCTAAGCTCTATACTCGAAGAAATCACAGAAACCTAACGCCTGCCTCTCTCACGAATGTACGTGTTCACTGACTACCCAGAATAGCCAGCCATGAGCATTCCCACGTATTAAGCAGCATATAGAGAAAACCCAATACCACCAGAGGTGCCTACTGCGAAACACTGATCATGTGAGGACTCAAAAAAAACCTCCTAGCTGTACTTTCAGCATGTGAACAGCATCAGTGAGCTATCACAAGCCAAGTGTGCTATGTAGAAGCTTGTCCTCGGTAACGCCCAAGATCTTGGCCGCCGCTGATATGCCCTGTAAGAAAGCAGTCTCTAGGCACACTACGTTGAGAATGCACGATGGGGTGACTATTTATAACATACTCAAATTTAAGAAACCTATGTTCTTAATTCTGAGCGAATGCATTTCAACACGACGGAAACGGCACCGGAAAAAGCGATCCTAAAAACTAGCGTTTCATAGGCTTCAGAGAACTCGCAAGAATCATACCGATAGCATAGCATTCTCCAAGAGAGGTATCTTCCTATTGCCAGCATAACTATAGCTGCCAGCTAGATATGTTCTATGTCGCCCGTTGGACTTAACCAAGGTAGATACTATGTTGAAGTAGTCTGTTGTAAGAACAGGACGAGTGAAGTAGGACGCCTTGCGAAGGAGCTCTTTAGGCTCTGGTGACACCAATCCAAGTGGTGCCCACGTCTGGATTACCTTGAAACCAGGTATCACTGCCACCATCTACTACTCACACTGCAGCACTACTACTATTACCACATCCTTCCCGTTGCTTTCTGTCTCACTCTTCAGTTCAGCGTCGCATGAGGGTAGATACACTGATACATCTAAGGAAGTGGTGGTTCCTACTGCTGCTGCCCATTCCCCACGTTCGCCCGGGTACTACATGCGTTGATCGGCTTGGTAGTGACTAACGGTTTCCAATTGGCAGCAGCAGAGGAATCGATGAAGAGATTAAGTCCAGAACGCCATGAAGTGTTGGTCACCTCGGGGAGCATGCGGAGGTCTCTGTGCATCCAGACCACACTACGCTCGTGCTTCAACCGCTTCAACAGAGCGGCCCTCTCAGCATCGATACTCTCAAGTAGCCTAGCGGCAGTGGGCGCTTCTGTGGCCACCACCACATAATCATAAACACTCAATAGAGCTTCCAGGTTGTCCACTTCGGTCGCTAACTTGACCGTAATCTTAGAATCCTCTACCAGCTTTTCCGCAAGAGTTCTAATCCCATTGCCAGCAAATCGTCTTATGCAGTTATCATCGCCCAAGTCACCCCATTTCCTCCAGAAATCCCTGGCATCACCCCAGTGGGCCCTCAAGAACTCCACTGCAACATCTGCAGGGCAAAGGGCAGCACTCTGCACGCTGAGGCTGCAGAAAATAGCCAGCCACGGAAGGAAAACACAGAAGATGAACTCATCGGAGTAGGCTCGGGATGCCATCCAATCGGCTATTGTTATATCCCGTAAATGCGTAGTAGCATTGGATGAGGGGATAGTGATAGTAAAATGGATGATATTGAAAATAGTGGATATTGTGAACAGTAGGCTCTTGAGAGAAGAGACTATCGGTACCTTCAATTTGATTGAAAAAAGCGAACCTGAGTACAAGAAGGCGTTGTGGCAGTTCAAGATTGGATACTACCGAGAGATAGGATCCAGTTACGGAATTCAAAAAAGGGTCTTCGTTGAGAGCCTTCGACTTTAGTGCACGATATTGACCAATCTGACTTCACGAAACTAATGCCCAGTACATAGCAGAGCCTAGTGAGCGTAGGGTAGTACGCCCCGCTGGTCGCTCTGTAGGGTACATCTATTGTCAGTGTAGGAGAGTACCTGAGCGCAATGTTGATAATGAAGACTGCTGTACTACTACTACTCCAACGACTGACTATATAGTCCTAGTTTGTCAGCACGCTCATATACGGTAACCTCCTCTATGGTGCTACCGACACCACTGCAGAGGGCCCAGGCAGTAGTGAGACCTAATATCGATATGAACCCTTCCAATCCGAATGATCGACGAAGTGAACCCCAAAGGCGGCACGATAGCACTGACAGTATCACGGAAGGTGGTAATCCCCGACCTCAGCGATAATGTCCAATACGTGGTGCACTAACGGTAACTACTACCTGCCAGCCCCGATCCAATGACGGCAACTCTCTTTCCTGCTAGTGGAGTAGCAGTAGAGACCTCAGTGTCAGACGACGCAGCAGTGAGAGGGGAGTAGCGCTGTCCTACTGGGTGATGATGATCGGTGGGCATTTAACTATGAGAGGAAGATGCTAATAAGAAGTCCACAGCAGCAAAGCCTCAACTAGTCTTAAAGGGACCACTCAAGATGGACATGAAGAACTGTTCATGAACTGTTTGGAGTATGATGTACTTGTGGACTCCGCATCAATGCTCCCGGAGAATGCTTAGCAAGATGCTCACAGACCGTGCCTATAGGAGAGCCATTCACAGTTCACGAACAGTATGCAGCTAACGGAGTGATTGAGTTGGGGTGGAATATAGGAGGACCACCCTACAAGATCAACACCTTTATTACTGCCTCGCTATAAGCATCGTACTACGATGCTCACCAAGCCATCACGGAACGGACAAGGGGAGCTACTACCTCCCCTTGTTCGTGCCATGACCGCTTGGGTTGGATGTTGGACCAGTTCGAAAAGCGTAGAGCAATGATCATATGCTAGAATAGAATATATGTAGTCCGAAAGATCCTGGATCTTCGAGAATCCCCCACTCATCGCCAAGCAGTGTTTCTATCACACGCATGTAGAGATAAGCGGTATATGTATGTCCATAATCAATACTCTTCTGAGGAGACCAGGACGGGGCCGCGCTCGGCGGCGGTGAAGAGTTATTCCCGACACTAGTGCATGCCCAGAATCATATTTCTCCAGCCTTTGGTAAGCATGTCATCCTCGTCAGCTACGAACCCCCAAGGATAACCAGGCTGAAGCAACTCCAAGACTAATTGGGCCACCCGAGACTCATCATCAATGGTATCATGCGATGTGCTTATACTTTCTATAACGAAACAAGTAGCCTCATCGTCGGAAGGATTGGTGTCTCCCATAATTGAGCAGATTCTCAAACCTTTACTCTAAAATGCACTTTCCTATCGATTCAGCGTGGCCGCTACGTCGCTCCGCCAAAAATACAAATCTCATTGTGATGGTAATGTTCATACACGCATCGTGTGAATATACATTGAATGGGGAATCGGCTGGGTTAGACCACGGTAGGCTCAGCGCAGTTCCACGCAGTGCCTGAGAGTAAACCTATGGGTGACGACTAAGCCTGCACGTTCAAGGTGAGTTGTTTGCTTCCATGCAATAACTGCATCCTTATTCGCAGAGTTCACGTGAGCCATATAGTTTGTAGAGGATTATTGACGTTATTCATTGAGACGTTGCAGGAAGTAGCAACAAGGAAAGCGCTGGCTCGGACCGCTGTAGACCCCGCGTCACCATTACGCAGGCCCTCACTTTCATATAACTTGGCAGGAGGTTCGAGTGCTCGAGTTATGTTATCAACTCTGCTACATTTTTCAGGCTGTGCTTCAGGACAAGGTATGTTCACCCTGGGCTTACCAGGTAGCAGGTGCTGGCATGCTGCCGGTGTTGAATTGAAGGATCATCTCTCACATAAAGGCTCTGTTGCTGATGCTAGGGCACTGGAGGATAAGATTAACGACGTGTTACTTCACCAGGCTTTAATACAGAAGAATCGGCAAGTTTGGTATCGGGTTATCGGCGCTCCTCGGGACCCATTTCGAGAGGTGTGCCTGATACCAGTCGAGCAATAGTTCCAAGGCTCAGCTCTTCGTCTGGGTGATGAATAATCTACTACTCGCCCGCTCCCCCATCGGGTTCTAGCAAGAGGTCGCGGGGAAAGTATTTGCCAATCATACAGCAATCTCGAGAAACGTCAATGAACCAGCATTAGTGTTTTGTAGGGAAGGTATCCTCACTCGTCTGCTATCTTGTGTGAGCTCAGTTTGTATTTTCTAGAAGTTTGTCCAATCTCATAATTTCATGCCCACTAAAAACCCAGGCCCATCAAGAACGACTACTAGCAGCTCCAGCTGCAAATTGCACTCATACTGCCGTTTACGATTTTGGCTCACCTTTGCCCTTGTGCCGATATTGAGCATCCTTTTCTATGGAATAGCAGCATTTTATGTCAGCTCACGACCTCTCAATGCTGAGGGTGTGAAGAATGCAGTAGATCAAGCACGACAGGTGTGCCGTCTTGATGGGACTAAACCTACTTGTCGTGAAGACAAGAGGTACGAGTTGGAGATGAATCGTGTGTACCCTTCGGAGTATGGTCTTGCATCTTTACAACAACATAAGGCTAGGAATGTTTTTAATGAGGTAAGACGCCCCCTCGATGACGTCACTTAATCCATGCCGCGCTCAGTGTCCGAGAGGTCACTACCTTGTACCGGTATCGGAGTCTGATGCTGGCCGGGGGTTCTTCAGACAGTCCTTGTATGTTGATCCTGAGGATGACTGCAGACTTTGGGAGCTGGAACCAGTAAGCAGCTGGGAAGCTGTAATACTCCTGCTCACTTTACTACCATCGCAGCTCTTAACTGCTATTGCTTCCGACTTAGTGTCTGCGCTTGTGACCATCTGTGTAGGTACGTACAAGTCTGTTCCATGATCCCTACGAACTACTCAAAATGACGAGTTTGAACCCCGACTGCTCCTCCGCAGAGATCGAAGTGAATGCTGATGCTATGTTAGATTCGGGCGTTATTCAGGTGAGTGTTTACGATGAGTGATGATGATGATCCTGACGAGGCTCTGCCATCAGGTCAACAACCAATCGAGATTGGGTAGCTTCAATTACATGGATCCGTGGATCTCCCCGATTCAGCACTTCACATACGATGTGTTGCCTTGTGCTTTATATGCTATTTCGAAGGAGCCTGAGACTGTTCCTCGCCGAACCTGTGTGTCATCCGTGTATCGACAACAGCAAGAGGGAGGAGAGTTAACGATGCAAGAAATACTCTCGTCTTGATGGGTCCCTCGCAATTTCCATTAATAAGGCGCGTTGGGTTCCCTAGTGATGTAGAAGCGCCTTTGGTCGTGCTATCGGCAGCGAGTCGTATCAAACCCCTACACTCTCGGCTACTCCTCAATAAATGGTAATAGTATTCAGTGAGAGATGGTATTCAATGATAACAAGACTGACGGTGAACACGATTTTATACAGATGGTTTCTCACGCACATAATTTTCGAATACTATTCCTTGAGCCTATTCTCACATTAGTGTTGACGTATCGTTCGAACATCGAACCTCACTGACTGAAGCTCACTTTCATACCAGCTTAACTGTTCTCTATCGTCAACACTGCCGCGCTGCCTAATGGCGAGTCCCAGTGGATCGGCTATGTGCCTCAGAATACACTATGCAATAGAACTTTTCGTACCGTGATTGTTCCTGTTATAATTCACTATCGACGGAGTATTATTATATTGTAGCAGTATGTCGTTAGTGAATCCTTTGTACGCGGAGTAACGCGAGTTCGATTCCCAGGACGGCCATTTTTTAGCGATTTCGTCGTGTCGCGAGAGAGAAAGATAATCTTGGCGTGACGCAGGCCGTAGTGCCACGCAAGTTCAACTGTCACTTGATGTTCGATAGCAGACTTGAAGTCTCAGAATAGTTGCTGTACCATCGGGGTATACCAGCCAAAGTGGCACTCCGTAAGAATGTCGATCCTATTGGAAGTCTGAATATGAATAGTGGGTTCCATCCATTGTAGCGTCGTCGTTCGTTACATTGCATAACAACGACTACTACTAGATGGATTAGGAGCAGCAACTTCGAGGGAGCGTCTGTGCTTGAAGTAGTTATCAGTATGCGAAAGATTCATGATAAACTTGTCTAAGAGATGGTATCGATTGAGGTTATCTTCGTCGTTAAATGGCTGAATCCTTCCACGACAGTGACCTCATATGCGAGTATTGCTCGGCTCCCTTTGATAGAGCTGATCACTCTCCTATGGTGGGCTAATAGACACCTATATCTAATTCATAATCACACTGTTGTCCATAGTTACTGTCCGTTTGCGGTCACAACCTGTGTGCCCTCTGCATAGAGGAACTTGCTCGGTCACGAGGTGTGGGGAGAATGATGTGTCCCTTCTGTCGACAACCCCACAGGCCTGGCGAGGTCATGACCAACAAGGTCCTCCTGCGTTCCTTGCCTAAGGGAAGTGACACCGAGAGTGCCACTCCAGATAGTCCTAGAAGTGACACCTATGATGAGAACAGGGCTATGGAGTATAAATGGTTTGAGGAAGGAGGCAACTGGTGGTATGTAGACAGTAACGTTGACCGAAGATGGCATTTTTTTGGTAAATGGGCCGATTATGATGATGACAACACTGATGGCGGTAGTGACAGACAGTCTCCAGAATGGACTGGTCATTGGCAAGCTACGGCAACCTCCCTACCTGATTGCAAATCGGCGAACTCTTATACCAGTACCCCATCTGGATGATGAAGTTTTTGAGCTGCACTAACGTTAATAACGCTCTTCCCCCTCCTCAGGGAGTCTGTTCTGCTGCTGCTGCTGCTATTAGTAAGATTGATAATAATGATCTCTATAGTGAATAAGAAGTTGGTTGTATTATGTTGATGATAGGCTGCTAGCATGGGGATAATAATTACTATGAAACTGTGGTGAATCGTTCCAGTGCAATACCCCCTAGTTACGAGCAGGATCAGATGGATTGCGAGGAAAAGGTTTTTCTCAATGACATTGAGTCAATGTTATAGGATCTAACAGCTCTCTATATAGAGTGCACTGCCTTGATAGTTTTCCCAGTATTTCGCATGGCTGTCATCACAGTCCAAGTACCCTCTGGAGCCTCACCTGGGAGCACTATTCAGATTGTTGATCCTGGTACAGGGACTCCCCTGCAGGTTCAAGTCCCACAAGGTGTGTATTCTGGCCAGACATTCCAGGTGAGGCAAACGCCTCGTGTTTGTACCACTCTTTGCGTACTTCAACAACCCTGGGCCGAGTCGTTCACGCGGCAGCTCTCTAGAGCCGCCTTTACTCGGACTTAGCTGCTGGGCGGGCTGGACCGCTGTTGCCAAACTTCGCTGTACTATCCGATATTGCAGTCATGTATCTCAGGTCCAGACCCCAGGGGCTACAGGAGCGGCTCCTACGTAAGGTGATGGCAACAGGGCTCCAACAGGTATGATATACCTCAGATACAGCCCTCCTCCCAGTAACATACCGTATGCTGATGGCAACACTTCTTATGGTGGTTATAATACTGGCTCGCAGCCTCCACCATATGCACAGCCGTACAATGCTCCTCCTCAGCAAGTCATCTATACCACTAGCTCACCTAATCACGGAAAGAACTCTGATGATACCTGCTGTGCATTCCTATTGGGTAAGCAGTAGTACTACACGCTGTAGTCATTAGCCTCTTCCTCCACCTCAGGTGCATGTGCTTGCTGTACACTATGCTGTTTGTTGGATGATTAGATATGGCTTTGGACGTCCCTTCTAATACTTTTACTACGGCCCATGGCTTTTATATGTTCCCTGGTCCTCAGTAGGATCTTAAAGCCTCACTGACTCGGTAGTGAAGGAAGACTTTCCGTATCACTACTGTGTACTATTGAGCCTCCTTTGCTGATACACGTCGTGCCGTTGAGTATCTGTCCAAGCTGATTATACTTTGAATATATTCACTCTAGTACTACATCATAGCCATCAGCTTAAGAGTTGTGTTGCTCCTAAATCCTCGACGGGGAAAGCAGTTGTACCCTCACCATGCGCAGTTACTCGTCAGAGGGTCCTTCAGAACAATCCTTACCAAGGGGGTCGAAAGGAGTACCATCTGAGTCGCCTATAGCTTATGCAAGGGTATGTCAATAGCTACTGATGCTGCTGTTGCTAGTGGGTGCAATTGTGAAGCTAGGTACTCATCCATCAGGGTACTGTTGGTTCTATACTTGGTCGAGGAGGTAGGACGATTAGGGACTTAGCTGTGAGGACCCACACAAGATTGAGAATGTCGGAGGTATTGTACCCTAGTCTTGCACAATGTGAATAGAATTATGAACATGGGCTGCTAGATGAGCACCGCAGCATATGATGGCGCTAGAGTTGTGACACTATCTGGAGGGCTGCAGTATGTTCTAGTAGCAGTCGAGGAGGTAGCTCTAACTTGGGTATTGACTCGTCTGGTGCTTTCTCGGTAGATATGCAGGAAGTGTTTCGCTGCAGAAGGCTGCCATCCCGTCACTGAACTGAGTAGAATACCAGTCGAGTTCGGTGGGCGGATGGATGTGGTCCGTTCACCTCCATCACAACATGAAGTTGTCCAACGCAGAGAGCCTCCCTATGGCTACTTCCTCATAAGATTACTAGTCGGCTTTGGCGATTGCTGCTGCTGTTGCTGGAGTGTCCTTCTCGGTAGATCCCCGACACTTCCGTCCCATGCATCCTGGGGCCACGTGGAGCCTCCCACAAGGAGATGTGTCTGAGATCACAGTCGAGGATATCGGTCATATCCACCACCTACTTCTGATTACCATAGTTCCTCGCCTGGTTCAGATATCACCGCGAGATGCCAGTGGGATCGAGCGGTTGGTGGAGGTCACTGGCTCGACCATGCAGGTGCTGCTGGGTGTGAGGGAGGTCATAACGGCAACTCAACAAGACCGCCACATACGGTGAATTGAGCACCCGAAAGGTTGCTGAGTCTACCTATGGCATGCTGCAGATCATCCATGTGGCCTAGCATGATCCCTGAGAGTAGACTCAATGTGCTATCGGATGTCTCAGTAGTGGTATGGACACGGTACTGGCAGCGATGGTATCATCAGGTGGACATCCATGTCGAGCTAACTCAAAGCTCACCAGAAAGATCTCGACGATGCTTGGTAGCATTGGAATCGGGCTTCGTATGGTGGCAGCTGTTGTTTCAGGCGGAGCGATGCCGCGACTTGGATGTTGGCTGCAGGGAGGCATTCAAGGCCGACTCGACGATATTTACGTTGAGTGGTCCGTCTCTGAAAAAAAATTAGCTGTTAGCTACACTCGCTGTGTGACCAGGGCCTATAGCAGCTGTACACGCCTGTCTGGGGAGGCTGGTTGAAGAACAGCTCTTGAATTTGCATACCGCACTGCCTCGTGTTCAACTCGAGCGTCATCATCCCCTTTTTGAAGTAGTACGATGGTCTTTTACGTGGGTGTCCTTTGTGATGTCAGGCAGCTCTATCGGAACGGTCAAAGTCAAGCTCGAATTAAAAACGGTTACTCTCAACTTACCAGCTCCGTTACCTTTCACATAGTGGAAAAGGACTCGGCAGCCACAAGTGAGTCATCAGCGACAATATTGAGGGCGCACACTCTTCCTCAAGTGTCGACGATCTGCAGCATGCGGCATGATATGGCCCAGTCTTATCCAACTATAGCTGACTTGTGTTTCCCTAGTTGGAGGGAGGGTTCATCGAACGCAGAGTGAAGTACTTGAATGCGCATGAATCATTCCGAGTGGCAATCTTGATGAAAGAAGTTTGAATCCTCCGCTCGGTAGGCGAACCTTAGCTGTAGCTAGTACGACTCATGGCACCTATCAAGGTGACCCATCGCGTAGAGTTATTCGATTGGCCATCTTGTTCTCCGGGTCACTCTACTAGAGGAAACATGGATGTGGAAGATGTACCAACTAGGATACTGCGACTGATATCAGCTATGGTCACCTGAAGGTTCGGGGTGAGCCTCGATAGGAGGCTAGACGGGAGCTCAACCAGTTTCTTATCACGTCATGTGGTGCCCTCGCAACACACAGAGGCAGTGGACCAAGCAGCAAATAACTCGAGAATTAAGGGTTCGGCTCCCCCCCCCCCCCCAAATTTTCCGCTGGTATTTTAGTTGCCGAGCTGACTTGCACGTGGTTAGTCGTAAGACCAGAACGGTCTAACTCTCTTGGAATATATGGAGGTTTTCATGCTGACCCGAACTATCTCCTACGTGAGGAAGGCTCCCAACTTGCCAGGGTGACTTGTAGACGCCGTTGGGAAGGATGGAGGAACTCTGACCAATTCTGCCTGGGCTGAAAATTCCCGGAATTCTCACAATGTGTTCAAGAACGACTTCGATGATTTTGTCAGTTTTGTCCTTTCTCAATATCCCCTCGACTTCCCACACAACAAGAGTGGTCCATAGGAGATGATGAAATTTACTTCATACTCCACGTACACACTGCTGTCGACTGTATGTCAATGGCATGAGTGTTATAATCTCATCTAAACTACTTCGAGAACACTAATTATGCTTAGCTTGCTGAGTGAATTATATGTACACCGATAAAGGAGGAAGTCAATAGCGTCGTGGCATAAAGCTGTTGTATCGGCCACGCGACAGCTTCGTGAACCTGGATGAAGGCCAGAGGCACGAATAACTGCACGGCGCCCAACGCTTCCATCTGAACAGGAGAATGAGCAGAGCTCAATACGTGAACGTCACTTACGCAAAATAGCTTGCAGCTAGAAGAGCAATGGTTGCCACGACGATTACAAACTTGCTCCCATCGCTGCCTGCGAACTCTTCCGATGACGAGACTCCAGATCCCTGCAACAAGCGCATGATGCCTCTCTTACGACGGTCCTAGGAACTAACCCGGTCTCGCGACTCGAATATGCGGTTGCTGCAAGGCCTGTCAGAATCAGATGGCCAGGTTTGGTCCGCGCTGTTGAGCACTGCCACTCACTTGGAGCCCGAGGTCTCCCATCCATCGTTGCATATGCAAGATTCCTCGGCCGGAGACCATGTGCCGTGTTCACCACAATCGGTAAATCCTGAAAGCAGCCCATTGACTCCATCGCGGAGTAATTCCATGAGTCTCCATCAGATGCACCTGATAGCGACAGCTCACCAGTCTTAGGATTTCCTGCTTCCTTGTCGATTATGTCATCGGCGGGTGATGAAGTCGTGGGGGTAAGGGCTGAAGGTTTTGCTTGCGTTGCCGAGGTGAATCCTGTCGTCAGTGGTTGCCGAGGACAAATACACCGAGTAGAGGAAGTTGGCTCATAAACGTTCGAACTTTGAGACGGCGTTGCTTGCAAGGCAGTGAGCGAGGTTGTTTTAGCCCTCGTAGTAGTTGCGCTAGTGTTCGTCGACGAAATAGTTGTTGTAGTAGTAGTTGTAGTGGTGGTCGTGGTTTGGAGGTTGAGCCACTGAATCCAGCTCACGAATGTCGGTAAGACCAGCACAGACCGATCGGGGCAAGCTCTGAATAAAAGATCAAGATGGAACAATGCAGAGGTGAATCGGAGGTGAAACCGAACATTGGAATGATTCATACTCATCCTCCTTAGCTCACCTCTTGGTTAAGCTCGTATCGTAGGGTGATTCTCGGTAGAATCCCGGCATACACCAACAAGCTTGACGTTTAGCGTACCAGTTGAAGGGACACCACTCAGGTGGACTTTCATCGGGATACCCTGAGACGGGTTGCTACAGTGGTTTGCCAAGAGCCAGAAGAGCGTTAGTAGTACAGAAGAGAGCATTGAACTGGGGATGGGTCGATAGGCAGCTCGCGTTGAGAGGTGGACCGTAAGGAGGTAAGGCCAACACCGAACGCCTCCTTCTGTAGCATCTGCGAGCAACGTGATGACAGCGTGATCATTCACCCCGCATCCGCAGTTAACAGAAGTGATCCGGAACGTCATGTTGAATCGGTGATTTTCCATCTTACAGCCAATCACGATTCCTCATCCCGTGATCGTTACCCTTGTCGTTCGGGTCAAATACGCAATCTGTGTGGAATAATGTGGACAGTGATGGCGAATAACAAGGAGGCGTCTAGCAATTTGAAAGGTCACTGAGCGAGAACTCACAGTATTCTCTGGGAAGTGACTTGTAACCATCATCGTCTTGATGCTTCTCGTGGATTCTCACACAAAACCTACATTGGAACATAAACGATGATAATGAGAGAAACTGCAGGATGAAGAACTCACTGTTTTATCGCTTTTTTCCGGGCACCATATATCTCTGCATCCTGCCACTTCCCGTAGCATTCAGAACGACCATCCATCCTCACGACACCGTTCCCATTCGCGAAAAAATCGTAATTGATGCCGCTAGAGGCAGCAATGAGCTTCGGTTCCCCTGAAATGACGAGAATAATAACTACAACAACCATTAACATCTCCATTAGCTCTTACATGCTTTCTTATCTTGGTCCGGCCGTTTCAATCCTGCAAGCACAGGGCGGATATAGACGATGACCACGATGGATACCACACTGCGGCACATCATTACTGCTATAAAGTCAACTACGTGAACCCATTCGAGAAACTCATGAAGGCTGGATATTGAGGATTGTTTGAGCAGGAACTCCTTCATTACTGGCCGTTTCGACAACGGTTTCCTGCCATCTATGCGAAACGACTGAGGCTGATGAGCGCACACCCAGTTCTTCTATCTACAAGCGGTAGCCCAGGGACGCATCTTGTGCTAGAATGGATGCTCTAAAGGGCCTTGATTAGTTCCATTTAACCGTCAAGACGGACACGGATCAACATGCCCAGTGAACCTATCACGTTCGATCACGCACCGCTCCCTACGTCACTAGCAGAATAAGTCAACTCTACAGGCTGAGAGAGCCTACGCGTAACTCGATCGAGATGTCATTCATGCCGCTTTGATGAGGAGTATCACTTCAGCTGAATTCTCGTACATTCATATCCCATGAAGTCATCCCATGAACTCGCGCGTAATGACGTGGTAGCGGGTGCTTACGAATGCTTTCACGAGCCCTGTTGTATCATTGCTGACCTATCAATTCCGAGACCGTCTCATTCGCAGTTGAGAATTACATACACGTCAATGATTTCAATATCAATAATCACTGAAGGTAGTTTCGACTTGAGTGTCTCTCCCAAGAGTCTCATGTTCAGTGACCTCCCCCGCAACTACAAACTCAACCGCTGATGCCATATTCTAGTAATGAAGTTTACTTCATACTTTCGGAAAAGACGTACTCCATTGCATAGTATATCACTCAAAACCAGTACATCAGTGCCCGAACAGGGTACTCCTGACGTTACGGAGAGATGTAGACAATAGCCAATTATATAATCTGGACCAGCTGATCCACTTGAGCGACTTAAAATCGACCCGGAGCGAAACTCCGAGATCTTGAGTGAGAGGACAAACTGGTTGGACACTTCCAACAATACGGAGACATGCGGATATTACCCACTCGCAGATACCTCCACCTGAAAGAGCGTAAGATGAAGTCGCTTCAGATGAGACTAATCAATATAATCCTACGTAAAATAAGCAACGGTCAAAATGATCAGGGCTATCAAGATGACAACCAAGACCACACCTCCACCCCCGCTCGAGCTTTCCGAGGAAGCAGAGAGAGCCAAGCCGCCAATTTTCTTACTACAAGGTCGCCTGAAACAACGGGATAACATCTTCAGTCAACGATCTTCTTCATGCGACAATAGTCAACGCTGGACAATTGAACCTACTGAAGGGGAGCTGTTTCCCATCCTTCGTTGCAAACACAGCTTCCATTGACTCTGGACCAAGAACCGTTATCGCCACAATCCACAACATCTGATGAAACTACAGCTGACAGTGTGCTCATTATGAAGACTAAAACCTAGAGTGGTGTAAGACTCACCTGGAACAACCGGTGTAGTAGTGAACGTATTGTCTCGCTTGACACCGTCATTATCCACTGAATTTGATGTTGTCGCCTGCGAAGTTGACGAAGAGGGAAGAGTACTGAGAATAGCCGATGTAGTCGAGAATACAGCAGGTAGCAAAGGCTTCTGCGAAGGACAAATACACTTTGGCGAGGTGGCGATGCTAGCAGAGACCGTAGAGGAAATTGCTAGTTTAGTGGTAGCTACGGTCGTAGTCCTGGCAATCACCGTAGTTCTTAGCATGGCCGGGGTTGTTTCTCGGACAGCTGCAACCGCAGTGGTACTAGCGGACATAATCACGCTACTGCTGGCAGCCTTGGTCGTAGTAGTGGCGACCGTCGTAGACGAGGACGTACTTGTGGTGGACGTTTTAGTGGTAGTCGTGGTAGTAGTGGCCTGGAACTCGATCCACTCCCGTCTCCGGACGAACTGCGGAACTATGAAGATGGCCTTCTCAGGACACCCTCTGAGAGAAACCAGTTGCAATGGGTAGAAACTTTAGACTCAGTCGATGATCGAAAGTCTCCCTCACCTCTTATTCAAGCTGGTGTCGTAAGGGGACTCACGGTAGAAACCAGGCATACACCAGCACACTTGTCTTTTCGCGTACCAGTTATAGGGACACCACGGTGGAGGACTATTATCAGGATACCCTGAAGCGAGCGAATCCTATAGCAAGCCTCGAAGGTCGACTCACATGATACAGCACGCCACGCCCTGTTGCCTTTGACACAGCTTTCATTGACAGGCGGTCCATGAGGGGGGAGTAGGACAAAGCTTGGCTCCTGTTCATAACACCTGACACAGGTCCAAGGGTGCAATGCTTATCAATGGCAAGTAATTGTCATATACAAGAGAACAGCTCGCAGGACATGATATAAAGCTTACAGCCAATCTCTATTCTTCCGACCGTGATCGTTGCCAACATCATTAGGATCGAGTAGACAATCTGCGAAGGAGGATGGGATGAAAAGCGCTTCACTTCACCAGGAGCAACTCACCGTATTGGTTGTAGAGTTTTGTGTAACCATCATCGTCCTGATGTTTCTCATGAAGACGAATACAAAACCTGCGCGGAATTGTAAATTCGAAGCACCGACTGAGATGTTTAATAGCTTGAAATGACTCACTGTTTGATAGTCTTCTTACGAGCACCGTAAATCTCTGCGTCTTTCCATTTTCCATCGCACTCAGGTTTACCATTGTCTTTAACCCGTCCACGCCCATTGGCGTAGTGTCTGTAGTTCACATTTTCTGACTCGGCTTCAACTCTTGGGCGCCCTGAAGTACAAAAAGCCAAATAGATCTGTAAGGACACCTCAAAAAGCCAGCCAAAGACTAGCCTGGTAAGTTCAACTTACATGCATTCTTGTCTTGACCAGGACGCTTAAGCCCAGCCGTAACAACGGAGGACAGTGAAATGACAATAGCGGCGAACTTGAAGGTGATACAGAGCATGTAGACTTGCAGGTAATTTAACTATGTGGTATTCCCTTCTCTCCATGGACTCTGTACCGCACACAAGTTATAACTATTTCCTGTTGCTCTAACTCACATGCCAGCCGTTTCGTCCCCAACAACTCAGCCGTTTCAACTTCAGCCGTTTCATGCACCACAGATGCAACTCTAACCCTGGGTGTAAGCTGTAGGGGGACGCCGCTACGTCCCTTTAAGATTTATCTCAAAAGCATTGAGCATATCATACGTGAGCACAAGGGTTTCGATGACGCTGGTGAACCCGTCAGCGTAGTGATGTTGGTTCTCCGTGGTGAGATACTCTCATACCCTGTGTTTCTAGTTAGTCTCGTGTTCCTCAAAGATCGTCTGTGGGGGAACGGAGGGAACACATGCGGACTTTTAAGAGCTCAATGTCTGTTTCTTGTCAAACTCGGCCAAGTTATCCCTAGCTAGGAAGCGCATGTGCATTACCCTGTAGGTTTTTGACGATTACGATGGAGCGGATGAGAGGAGAGTGAAAACACACAGACGTCTCCTAGGAGAACGAATCTCGCTATTCTGATGGCTTCATCAGATTCAACGTCACCGAAAACTCTCTTTCGCTCACGCTTGATCGACGCAACTCTTAATGACTGCGCATTTTCTACTAACCCTGAAGTACTCTTTTTACGTCGAACACGACACCAAAATTGTGGAACTGCGAGTAATAACACTCGTTATGGTGAACAAAGGTTCATCACAAGGATTTTGAGAAGTAAACATTTACCAACGATCAACAGCTGCTTCGCCGTACTTCTCGATATCAGCGCCAGCATCAAACACCTTCACTGTTCTACGGTTCTTACTGAGGACCTACGAATGATATAACGTAGCATGTGACCGGAAGAGTAATTCAGAAGCCTCACCACAAGCGTCGGGATACCAGCCTTTCGCTGAGAGTCGCTAATTCCAATGTCTTCCATCTCCTTCTTAGCGCACACTCCTACCATTCACAGTATCATCCACTGAGCGATGATTGATGCAACTCACCATATTCTTTCTTTAACGTAGCACGAGTACGTTTGTCATTGAAAGGAACCCTCAGCCAATCAGGCATGTCATTCCGATGATAAGCAATCTGCAATGACTATAATACAAACCACAACAAGCTTGATCCTCGGCTCACCTGCTCGTTCTCAGACTTGTCGCTAGACACGAATATGATTTCCAACTTATCGGGATTCTTGGCTCTTACATCCTGGACAGAGCAAAGGAAGCAATTCTCCAATTCTCTCAATAGCGACTGAGTAGAACAGTCCAACGGTACGTTCCTTCACTGTGCGCGTAAAATCGTTCAAAATTGCAATGTAATTACAAAGCTAGTGGACGCTGCACCAGTATGTGGATGCCGATCGATACTGGGTACACTAGAAGTCGAAAATTCACAAGGGTCATCTCACCTCATAGAACTTCTTAACAGTTGGAGTGAAGGCTGTGCAATCGGGGCACCAATGAGCAGCAAAATACCTGGGAGAACCGTCAGGTGAGTCCAAACGACGACGAGTATTCTCTAAATACTCGTCGTTGTTTGGAATACTATTCAGACGCTGATTATCCCATGTGAACATGAGCTTAGAAAAGCATCGTTTTCGAGAGGACGTACAGCGCAACGATATCCTTCTTAAGCAGCACTTCATCAGCACGAACAACAGTGCCATCCTGTTTGAGGAGGGTTTTACCGGCTAATAACGACGCGGACATAACCATTTTTACTAAACAAGTCTAAGTCTTAACAACACCTATAATCCGAATTCAACAGCTCGACACAAAAACTGTCCCTTTGCCAACTTTCTTTTGTCGGTTGAAGTTCAGTTGTTCATAGACATGGATTGATCATGTACCTCGTTGACTGTCACTATTCCAGAACCATGGTATGCATTTCTACCAGGCCCTTCTGATACTGTGCAATATGATTGGGTCATTCGTCCAACTACCAACAACACAACAACACTTCTGCATAATGCTGTCAGTCCGACCGTCGACAGTTATATCAGCAACAAGCAGCGACAAGCTGGATATAACTGACCGTAGAGGAGTATTAACTGACCAAACAAGAGCTAGGGTTGAGTTCTGAGCTCACTACATGATATGCGTTAACATCAAGCAATAAACTGGTGCACCTCAAGGTCAAACAACAGCAACAATAGAGGAAAATGGTGCTGATAAAAGTCTTGTAAAAATTACATAGCACTTACATCTCAAGACAACGTATATGGTAAACGATACCGCGCGACCCATACAGATCGTGCAGCAAGCAATAGACAAGCAAAAACGGGTCCGACACGCAGCTTCAGTAGTTGGACCACAGCAATACCGAAGTAAGACAGAGCATCTATATTCCCCGACCGACAACTCCACAGCAAACTTCTTCTGGCCTCATCTTGTGTAGGAGGCCCAACCTATGTGGTACAGAAACCAGCTATAGGTAGTCGAACCAGAGAGGAGATACGTCGGGTTATAATGGAGCATGAGGGTATGAACAAACCTCACTCGGGAGATGGGGATACTGCGAACTCTCCCCATCAACCGAGTAGCCAAGATTACGACATACGCGCATGACGATTCCCAACGACACCACGTCTATGCGATGCTGATAGTATCAGTGGTAATAGAGAGTTGTGAATAAACCCACGTTACAAAACGCCATGTGTCGGGAACCCTACATAAGGCACATAAGGCGACGAGATGAGCAGCAACAGTACTCATAACGAAGACAGAAAAAGTGTAACGCTACGAAACCTCAAAAAAGAGAACATGTGATATACCCATGATGATGATCACGGTGGGAGATGAGCAGTGCTTTGCCAAAAATATTGATACTGGTTCGAATGAGACTTCCACAGTACATACAATTACAGCAGTAGCACTACACTCTAGTATCTATGATCACCACGTTAGTCTAATCACCGACTTCAACAGAGTCCAATCCTTCCACAGTGGAAGCTGATGGGCTCACATCATTCAAGTACTTCGAAATTCGTAGCGCGCTGAGAAGGAATGCATCATAGACAACGTAATCGAATAACTCCTCAGTGCCTTACCTATCGCAGCTCTCCACTCTTGACGATGCCGTGTCGCGATTGGACTTAGCACAGCGGCTGTCAATCGGCAAAGTCAACAACCTAGGCAACGCGGAGCTCTCCTCAACATGAATGACTTCCTTCCGAACGAGCTCCCTGTTGCCATACCTATATTAACAACGCTAAGATACATAACCAATCGAGGATTCCCATTACACAGGCTGGTCTTCCGGATGACCCAGAAGGTAGTTGCTCGCTATCCCAGCACTCGCTTCTTTAGGCTGTAGGACCTGCAGTCATGATGACACTCGACCGACCCTTAACACAAACAGGAGATATACACGACGACTGGCCCTGAACCCCGTATCACTAGTTTCCGTAAATTGCAGGGCGAATACATATGGGAGTTGTGCGCGAGCTTTATCGCACGATCGCGGAGATTCTGAGGGCTACTCTCTGAACTCGCCTTCCGCGGTGCCCATCGAGACCTTCTCATTGATACTAGGAAACTACGACAACAGAAGATCTACTTCACCAGCAGTGATAACCAAACAAGGGGGGGGGGGAATTATATGAAACTTGACGTCACTCTTAAAAATTCGTGAATCAAGAATTTCCGTAACTAGCCATACTAGGAGTAGAATACTGCTGCAACTGATACAGTAGGCAACGCTGCTGTGTATAGACAGATGGTAGTTATAGTGCAGATGCTCACCATCGGACTGTAACGACGAACCACTGTAGCAGCGCTCGCTGCACCAATGAGTTCGACGATGGAATTCTGCGTATAATGGAGTAAACAAAGACGGCGACTGAATGGAGAGAATTCGGAAGCACAATGTGGTATTTCAGACTAGTAAAAAATCAAATAGAACAACGATACGACTAGTTTGCACGGTCGGACCGGTTTAAGCATAGACTCTCATCTCTTCCGCAGTTTGCTGTCGAGATGAACCATAAAAGCCGATTATAGGCGACGATCTTGACTATGATAATTACGACGACTACATTGTAGTAATATAAACGCTAGTTTATCAATCCTACAGCAAAGAAGGGGAATAAAATGAGAGATTTCATCAGCAGAAGCACCACCATAAAGAATGTCCGCAGTCAACCTCAATAAAAGTCGTTGCTATTGAGCTGTCTGCGATACGAGCACAATGTGATGGTTCCCGAACGGAGGAAGGGGGGCACAGATTGCCACCCGATCCATGATGGGAACTAAAGGTCGTCTCGCTAGTCACAACGGACACAGCGGGACGACAACGACTTTCATTTTTCTGAATATCGAAATTTGTTACATAGATTATAATAGGTACAATAATTGCTATTTCTGTATAAGTCATCACTGTTGCTGATAAACGACCGAACAGCAACAACGAACGTAGACTACGAAGATTGCTTTTCACAGATCAGCAGAATAATCACTTTGCAACTGCCAGTGCTCTCCATCGAAGGAAACGTCTACTGGGCTGTTGAACATGAATAAGTCCTGAGAAAAACCACACCGCCGAGTGAAAACTTCCACAAGGAGCTCTTCAATGCCTTACTTGAAAGGCCTCTCGAAGAATCGTGAGTTCTCGAATGAGAGTTTTACAACTTGGAGCGCTGACCAATTTGACGCTTTTGGGAAGGCAATGGTACGTGGAGGCAGCGGCCGCTTTCAAGCACGCTTGCCGTTCTTTCACAGAGTCTCCTATCGAAATCAACTAAATAGAGTACATCAAGAAGCGGGGTTGGTTTCGATGTTCATACTCACCTGAGAGGGTTTGAACTCGATCCACAAAAGAGCGAAAGCTAGTAATTTCCACAACGATGAAGTGTCCGCATATTGATCCTCGGGGTACTGCTCCTCATACGTAGTTCGAGCTGATATAATGCGACACTGTCGCAGGACCTGTGAAGGGTAGTAGTGAGTTACTAGAATAGCCCATGAAGTAACCTTAGTCAGAGAGGGAAAGTAGGTTTGGGCGCTATACTCTACCCATCCCTCCTCAGAGTTGGTCACGATGACGACTGTCCCCACTTGGAGACAGCATTTGAGTAATTCTTCCACAACTCGAGCCAGCTCTTGCAACTCGTTCCTGATACACCAATAACCAACTTGCTCAGTTATCCACAGTGTTACCAGAGCTCCATCGTCATCACTGGTCGCGAGCAAATAACAAAGCTTGGAAAGAGTGTATCGTCCCAATCAAAGACGGTGACACCCGAGGCGCCTGCCCTACTCATAATTTTACGAATGCGCATTGCACATCCCTGAGCTCTCTGCTGCAGGGTCCGCCTATACGACGTTCTGCGGCTGCTTAGAATTTCGAGCATTGATACGCGTCTGATTAAAGTCTGACACAAGTCAACTTCACCATCCAGTGGCTGTAGTCCACCCAAAACTTTCTGTATAAGATTCCTACACCTTTGCGACAAACTCCTGCCAAGACGTACACGAGAGAAACAGGGTTGTAGAGCTAGAAGAGAAACGAAGGTTTTGCGCCGGCCTCTTTTGGGAAGAAATGTCTTCACCGGGGATCGAACCCGGGCAAGATACATTTCAACCAGTAAGACGACAAAGGAAATATGCGGATCACGATGGCTTTGGCTCAGGCGTCAAGATCAACGAGTGATCCGGACACCATGTGGTTGATCTGTGGTCCACAGACTGTGGATCAGGATCCGCATACCGACCCAGTTAGCGACCCTCAGCTGCTTCTCTAACTACACTCATATAACCTCTGTGTGTTGCAACGCAGCTCAGTGGCCGATCAGGCGAATTCATACTCAAGTGCTCGAACAATAGTACATTACCACAGATCACAAGGGGCGGAACATGCATTATCAGGTCAATGGGATCAAAAAAGTGATACATGTCAGCTGAACTAAGTCAGCTCCTTTGCTCATCGTCCCCAGCCATCGGTCGCACCAGGAGATACTCATACTCAGCAGCTATCTCTGCCGGCGCATCAGGGTCGAGCTCAGCTTCAGTAACCCCGCTGTGACCAAGAACCACCCAGGGCTGCTCACGCACTGAGCATTCCCTCAAGTGAGCTTCCTTCATCATAAATTTCTTAATTTGACTCAGGAGGCGACCCTTGGGGAACATATTCACCTAATGAGGAGCCCAATTGACCCTGTATAGATGGTCCTGTCTTTGTATTGCTACCCGAGTTCTATAAGCTTTCCCTCCTAACTGAACCCTAATATCAACATCGACGAAGTAGTCCGCCTGACAGCGCCGAGAAAACCGGTGTTCGTGACACAAAGTAACTTCTTCAACGTGCCAAGCGTGTTCAGTACGCTACGACATTCCGGAGCTCATCAGCGGAAACCTACTGCTTGACTCTGTCGCCGTCTTTTTCTCCCCGTTATGCTCACAGAACGCCCAGTATTCGTCCCCACAGTTGGTGTTGATGCAACCACACAACGGCTCGTCGGTGCTTCAAAGACTAAACACTGAGATAGACTCTCGGAAATATAATTTGTTGTCTACTGTAATCATCTCGTCGCTTTGCAGGCGCTTCCTCAACTGCACTTGCTGACTTCTTTCCACCCTCCTCCAGCAGGTTGCCCTCTTCCTTAACATCCAAATCAGCAACAACATTATTGCATTTTTTGCTGCGACGACTTCGGTCGGCGTCACCAGAGAGCCTCTCCGCTGTAGGAGAAACCTCCAGCAGTGTGACGTTTCGAACCGTTTGCGGGGTCACATCACGTGAGCTATTATCATCAACCACCGACGCCTCAATGATGAGCCCACTAGAAGCTAATGACTTTGGATTCGAACAACCGTTATCAAACTGACGCTGAAGGTGATCGATTCGACTAAGCACAAGGTCAAGCTTGGTGTGGACTTTCCCCAACTCGGCGAGCATCATCAACGCCAGGGCATCTATCGTTTGGCCGCAGCCTCGATCCGCCATCAATGAGGCAGAAATAAACGCCGAGGAGACAACACGTAACTTGCTGAACTCAAGCGCCCACCTCTTGGAAAATTCCCCATGGTATAATGATCGGAGTCAGAAGTGCTGCCTACCCCAAACCTGGGCACGATGTGCAGGGGAATCAGCAGGCAAAAAAGAAGTACTGGCCGAAGATATGTTAAAAACGAGAACCGCGAAAAACTGCATCCGGTGGGAGCCGCCTGAAATCATGGAAAAAGTCATGTGAAAGAAACGTCAGGGTCGATGTTGTTACCCATTGACATACGAGTCAATACCATAAATCTTTCGAGTCTCTGAGGAGTAGCTCACCCGCTGAGCCTTCTTACACGAGTTGCTCTTTCTCAATCTAAATAGAGAATACTCAAGTCTGATACAATTGAATAGCGCCAACTCACATAGAGTTCGTACACGTATGTTGTCGTCGGCTATGAACCCTGTGGTGTATCTTCGCCATTTCAGCGTACGGTAAACCCGACGAAGTCTGCATAGAATTGACCTCCATATCAAACCAAGCCGTTTACCATGAGCATCCAGCTAAGAAAGCGTTCAGCAGCTCCCATCGCTACAGTGGACATACGTGCTACCGTCATAGACTGCGAGTTGGAGACCTAACACCAGCCCACAGTGACATATGACATGAACAGCTTAGTCACCTTATCTCCTTCAACAGGTCTCTTTCCATGCTTCAAAAAATATCCGACATAGGGACTGGATCGGCTAGCAGCTACAGCTGGCACCGCGAACTTCCGTGTAAATGACAGTAAGCAGTGCGACGATCGAGACCGGTGCTTCTGAGCTCTGCTACAGCAGCAAACAACGATCGAGCAACAGCTTGGATAGGTACTAGCTACAATGAACGTGGATGGAGTCGGTCATGACTATGGTTGGAGTAAATTGACCCCCCATTGGGAGTTAGCCGCTGAGCTCTGAGCACAAGGAGACTGTTGGGAGATTATAAGGCAGATGCCTACAATAACTTCGCAGAGTTCAACGGCACATCAAGTCGAGTAGCTGACAGGTTATCGTTCCGCTCGAACGGCAACGGGAACTGCTGCTTTTCCTTCAGTGCTGGAGAGTATCCTATCTCAAAGCACCTATTCACTCAGATGACCCAACGGTTGATCTTCACTATCAGAGACTTACTTCCGGAAGGTGAGACAGCCGTTGCTCTCAGGAGGTGCCGCAACATCCATTTGACTGAACATGGTACGTCAATCGTCGGCGATTAAACAAAACAATAAGGCGATAGCCAAAGTGGAAATCGACCGAGTACTGAGCATTTGAATGACAATTAAAATTGGAGCATTTCATCACTTAGTGAACCACACGTAAGCTCACCAGGGAAAATAAGGCGCTTTCCACGCCGATAACCATAGTCGGCGAGTGTCTCTGACACCCTCAACGTTGATCCCTCAGGAACTATCATATCCCTACCCTGGCGAATCGCCAGTGGCGATCGATCGTGATGGAAGTCACTGCATACCGTAACTTGAGCAAACTGTGAGGGTCGTATGTACCGATTCGCTTACTCCCTAATGCCTACCTTAAAAAGAGTCAGTTTTAGAGGAAGCGTGGTTCGTTGAACCTAAGCTGACGACACTCAACACAGATGATCGGCTTCTTGTGAAGCACCAGTGCAGTCCCGGAGAACTTCGGTATTTAAGCAGGGATGGTCGAAGCGTCGCGCGCAATTAAATACAGCAGCTGCGACGGACGAAGAACTCGGGCGTAACCATCCTACATGGTCATAGTGAACATGGCAAGTGATATCCTCACCAGCGAAGATCAGACTCTAGAGCTCCTAGTTATACATGCCGTTAAGTGATGGAACATGCACTACGGGAGATAGCCTACTCGAGTACGAGAGCCGTGGATCAGCTCTCTATGAGGTTTCGATCAGCAAGGTCTTCAGGACGAACCTAGGATGATCCCGATAAGCCACCTTTGGCCCTGAAGTGATACTCCCATTGCGTCGACAATGGTATAAAATCGCTACTATCGAGTCTGTTAGGGCGTGCTCGGAGCACCAATACTGTCCTTTAGAACATCGAGGACAAAGCCAGAAGCATTCATAGGCAATATGCCGAGAAAAAACCACCTGGAAACTACGCCGGGGCCTTAGTGGAAGCCAAGTTTCGTCATAGTATGATGAAGAGTGTAGCTAGTTCAACACCAGGCGAGGTCAGATACGAAAAACTCAGTCAACGTTGTGGCATGTTAGAAGATTCATACGCAACATGATACCATGCGCGGTCGGATGCTGGATGCCCTCTTCCATCTGAATCACAGATGGCACAAGACTGAACCGGAAAATATCCAAAGACTCACCACCGACTAACTCGGGGGTCTCCTCTTCGTCGTCGCCCTCACCTGTTCCTCTACGGAAATTCAGCAACCCCGACCATGCAGTCCGCACATCTGACATCAAGCCTATGGAGGCTGATGATACTAAAGACCACGTCTTCTGAGAGGAGTGGTATCACTGTCAGAACTCAGTGCAACTAACCTACTCGAGCTTCTCCTGCTGCCTTGAGAAGGGCAGCGTGACGGTTCATAGACACCCTTGCAGTGGTCGAGTCACCGCACAGAAGACAGGAGAGCTCCTCAGGTCCACAGTCAGCCCGCAGTGCTAGAAGGCACTGCGAGCACAACAGAGCCTATGGGAAGCAGTAAGCTCCTAGACAAGCAGATAGAGTTTACTCACTTCGCACACAGGACAACAGTAGAAGGTTGAGACCCCCTCAGAGGTAGCACACCGACAACAGCAGTTCCGTGCGTCACTATCAAGACCGAAGACGACCTCGGCTGCCGGACCAGATGGGTGCGAGAAACCCTTAGCGGGGGTCTGGGAGGTGGACGGATCATCGTCGTCGAAAGGGTTGCCAACATCTGGTATCTCCAAAAGAAACGGCGGAGCGGTGGAGGAGTCACTCGTCATAGAAATGGTAATGACAACTAAAGCAACAACGACAGAGAATAGAGGTCCTCGAATAGGGAGATGTATGGGACAAGGAGTGGATTTACACTCTACACAAGGCCTACTAGATGTAGAGGAAATATTTCAGCCGTTAGAACCGCTACGGGACCATAGCGAGAGTAGAGTTGAGCCGACCTCCATCACTGTTGTCATCGAAGGGAGCTTATCCTCCCACCAACTCGACTGTGATATCTACAACTCAACGATTCTGCTATCAACCACCTCGCCAGCTTACTTGTCTCCGAATCCTTTCCCTAACAGCAGCATCAGTGAGAGTGTCTGTTAGAGGTATTGTCGCTGGGACCTCCAACTTGGCATTGAGGTCTGGGCTCTTATACCAGAATACAGTGTTGGGGGGATATACTACTACAGGGGGCATCTCCTGTGGTGTATCTGCTATGACGAACACAACTCAGCCAAAGACCCATCTAGCTTGGTGAAATAACGCTCCCTAAGGTTTGACAACAACGAGGAATATGATCCTAATGTGATGACATGTGAAAAATGTGACATGTGTCTTCCTAGCCATCCGTGAAAAATTCTAAATGAGTTCCTCCCGAAACATTATAGGTTCCTGGATGGTTCCATGAGCCCAACGGAGGGTCTTTACCTCGGAGCAAGAGTTGAATTGTATGAGATGCCTTCTGAATAAAGCCAGGCAAGACTCGCCGAAGACCATACCCCAACACCGAGCCAACTGCCAGCATCGAGGCTAGAGCTCCACCGCGGGCTAATCTAGAGCCCAACGATGGCTCGTCCGGCTTGCTCGGCCTGATTGAAATCAAGTAGCCATGACCAGAAGGGTATAACCCTACCCTATCCCCTCATCTCCATAGATCGCCCTCGAGGCCCGCAACCTCGGCGCTGCTCCCGTCGGAGTGGACAGCCGAGGTGCTAAGAAAAGGCTGCATGCCGAGTAGAGAACAAACGACGCCAACACCACCACTAGGAATGGTCGGCGAGCTCTCCGGGCCATAACTTTACTAGACTTCAACAACACACGAATGAGAGCATCTTTTCATGAGAGAGAACACCTTTGAATAGGAGGAAGAAGACGGGGAATATACGCATATCAGTCCCCGCCCCCGAGCCGTGACTGATAACGAAACACTACCAGAACTACTTGAAAACCTCGTCCATTTCACGTAGGGCATGCCTCATACCACACCTCAGCCTCGCTAGTGGTGATACGAACTCCGCGTCGATAGTAGCCGCCACCACAGCTAGGGTCGACAACCACTCGTACAGGTTGGGTTGGGGGCTAGGAAGTATGAACGGATGGTAATCCCCTCTCAGGTGGCAACAGTATCTACTATCTGTTCTACCTTGTCTCACCCCTGCCTTCTATTATCCAGCTCAGACGGGAGGCTGAAAAAGTATCCAGTTAAACCCACACTTGATCTCATGTGGGCGTCACAAACGTTCGAAAAGACAGCGCTTCAATTCATCTCAACCCTAAAATCGATTCTAGCGCTTCCAGAATCAACTTCGACTCCGCCCAAGTTTACCGAACATCCCAATAGCAGTCTTTGACAGCGAGTAGCAGTACCTTCTACCGTCATCCAGCTTGCCTCCAGCAAGCCAAATAATATGACCTCTCTCACAGTCCATATGCCTACCATCAAGACCACATCGTAGTCCCTCTGACATGATCTGGTCGTGGTTGCCGCATCCCACTAGCTACTACCATCGCTATTAGTGACGTTGAAGATGAGGAATTCTCCTTCTCTCAAGGGTTTCCGAAATGAGGGGTGATGCAGCGGTCTCTTGGGGAGTAAATGCTGACCAGCACTGGCCTATGATGACTCAGTTGCTCACATGCCGATAACTATCCCGACTAGACTAGCTCGTTGGGAATCTTTCGTCAGACTACCCGATCGGGACCTCCGACAATACCACCCACAATGACATATCACCTTCATTGGAAATCGACATCTGCGAAAAAACGTTTAGCATGTTCAGCGACCTCGCTGTCTTCTCTCCATCCGCTTGTGCCACGACTATCTCTCGAGGCCTGTGGGATTACATCGTCTTTGACGACCTTCTCTATACACACTGCTCCTCTTCGAGCCTACTCCTCCTCTACAAGTATTCGCTGCAATATGGGCATTTACTTCCACAGCACTACCCTGCGCCCCATCCAGTTAGTGAGGGAGTCAACGTCCTCGACTGTTCCGTGCTCTCCTTCATAGAGATTAGCTTGTACTCGCTCAACAGTAGTAACGTCGGCCTCGAAAAGTAAATCTCCCAAAGAAAAAAAATCGCCCTCCAGATGGCAACACAGATCAGTCTTGACCAGTCAAAAGAGTTCCAGAAGGCGAAACGGTGAAATTTGGTGTTCGCAAACTTCTACCGTGTTTTTTGGGTGGAAACTAAATTATACACGTTTGACATGGTAGATTGTACGAGCCATAATTGAAATGTTTATCAACTCTGTCCAGCCAACAGAAAAAGGTATCGCGTTGAAGTTACGGAGTTCCGCCATGAGCCACGCGCTGAATATGCGCCGTTGCGTCATCCCGCTATGCATAATCGATCACGCGATCGATTTTGCTCGGGTGTGGTCTTCTTTCCATTCTCCATACCTTTCAGTGGTTAAACTGATTGTAGAGCCGTTAGCTCGCAGTCCCCACAAAGCATGGCACCCCGTGATCCCAAGAAGCTTGCTAAGAAGACCGCCTACCTCGACAGGGTGAAGAACCTCCTCGACACTTGCGAGAAGATCCTCATCGCCTCCGTTGACCATGTCGGATCCAACCAGTTGCAGCAGATCCGTATTGCTCTCCGTGGCAAGGCCATCATCGTCATGGGTAAGAACACTATGCTCCGTACCGCCCTCAGACAATACGAGGAGGAGCACGAGGCTGATCTCGGCCATCTCTTGAATGTCATCAAGGGTAACATCGGTCTTATCTTCTGCATGGCCCCTATTGACGAGATTCGTGAGGTCATCTCCCAGCACAAGGTTCCCGCTATGGCTAAGGCTGGTATGGTTGCTCAGTGCAATGTCGACATCCCCACTGGTCCCACCTCTTTGGACCCCTCTCAGACCAACTTCTTCCAGGCTTTGAACATCGCCACTAAGATTGTCAAGGGTTCCATTGAGATCTCCAACGATGTCGCTCTTGTCACCAAGGGGCAGAAGGTTACTGCTTCTCAGCAGGCCCTTCTCATGAAGTTGAACATCCGTCCCTTCGAGTACGGTGTCGAACTTGAGAGTATCTACGACAACGGTGAGGTCTATGATGCCGCTGCCCTGGATATCAGCGATGATGATCTTGTTGAGAAGTTCATGCACGGTGTTACCTACTTTGCCGCCTTCTCTCGTGAAGCCGGCATCCCCAACGAGGCCACTCTGCCTTATGCTATCAACAACGCCTTCAGGAACGTCGCCGCTTTGTGTTCCGACGTCGACTTCACCTTCCCCGAAATCGAGCAGCTCAAGGTATTAGGGGCTTCCTATCGCTCGCTGGTCATTGGAGGGATTGCAGTGTGGCCTCTAACCATACTCGCAGTAACCGTCTATGCGAGCACCTTCACGTGGTGTATAGTCGCTAACGGTTCTCTCCTACACAGTATGCGTTGGTTGAGTGCCTTGGCCCTCCTAATGCTGTGCCGGTATATTCCTAGTCGTTCAGTAGCTGCTATGTGGCCATTAGCTGAAAGAAAAACCATACCGGCAACAAACTGATCGTTCTGATGCCGTTAGCTCTATTCGCTGAATGATATTATGTTTTCGCCTCTCAGGAATTCCTCAAGGATCCTTCCAAGTTCGCTTCCGCTGCCCCCGCCGCTGGTGCTACTGCTGCTGGTGAGGTCAAGGCTGAGGCCGCTGCTGCTCCTGCTGAGGAGGAAGAAGAGGAGGATGTGGAAATGGATTTCGATCTCTTCGACTAAGGCGAGCTCTAATGATGACCCGTTGATACTCCCACCTGCCAGATGGGTATTCTGTGGTTGCCAAAAGGCTGCTTTATGCACCTGCGAGGATAACACACTCTGTTGTGTTTGCTAGTGATGGTTGCTATGCACACTCTCCCTCGACTGTTCTCCATCGATAGTGTTGTCGACCTGTTCGTGTGCACATAGCTCTTGTTGCGTGTTCGCGCTTGTGCCTCATCTTGTGAGATGCCGGTGATTTTGACGCACTACAAGTTTATGTTTTCTGTGGATGAGTACATGAGTAGCCTCTAACTACTCATGTTAAATCGTCTATGCGAGCATCCTCATGTGGTGTATAGTCGCCAGCGATTTCATCCAATACAGATTGGGTTAGTTGAGTGCTTCTGCGCTCCTAATCCTGTGCCGATATATTCCTAGACTTGCAGTAGCTACTACGTGGCCATTAGCTGTGAGACAAACCATACCGGCAACATTTCATTAATAGCTGTAATGATGACCCTATCTGCCGCCCCAGTCCGATTATCCGTGGGGATAACGCAGAAACAAGTGTTCCTCTCTCTGATACAGCAAATACTGTCTATTGCAATGATGATACAAACTACGTCCCAGCCAATCTGATTGTCAGTGGCGATATCGTAGAACTAGTGTTCCTCTCTCTGAAGCATAATAATTTGTGGATGAGTACATGAGTAGCCTCTAACTATTCATGTTAAATCGTCTATGCGAGCATCCTCATGTGGTGTATAGTCGCCAACGATTTCATCCAATACAGATTGGGTTAGTTGAGTGCTTCTGCGCTCCTAATTCTGTACCGGTATATTCCTAGACTTACAGTAGCTACTACGTGGCCATTAGCTGTGAGACAAACCATACCGGCAACATTTCATTAACAGCTGTAATGATGACCCTATCTGCCGCCCCAGTCCGATTATCCGTGGGGATAAAGCAGAAACAAGTGTTCCTCTCTCTGATACAGCGAATACTGTTCATTGCAATGATGATACAAACTACGTCCCAGCCAATCTGAATGTCAGTGGCGATATCGTAGAACTAGTGTTCCTCTCTCTGATGCATCATGAAGGAGTATTACAACACTGTCTTCTAACCTCATTTGTACTGAAGAGTGTTACAGCACAGTCGTCTGAGAATATATTGGCTCCATTATTTATATATATTTGAGATTGGACGACTATGCTGTAACACTCTTCAATAGAAGTGAGGTGAATAAGTTCTCGTCGCGGTTACTTAAATGTCAGCAAAATCACGTATGAAGTATAGAGAAAATTCGCAACGTGAAAGTCTCTGATTATATCCATCAAGTTGAGCATACAGAATCAGGTGTGACAACATACTTGAGTAACACAACATACTTCCCAATACTAACAACAAATATAATAATGGACGCATGACAATGACAGAATAATCTCACTAGGGATCTCTGGTAGAATACCTGAAGATCCACCAATTAGGTGCTACCACCTCTTACTTGAGGCCTCACGAATTGATATTTAATTATGGTCCTTGAACAGAATCGACTTCCCTGAGATGCACCAAGTTATAGTCTCCATGTAAGGAACACTCAAAAGAGGTATCGATCGCGAGAAATCTCACCGTGATGGGTCTCCAGCGAGGTTATCCTCAGCGCCCTCAGCATTGGAAACTTCAGCCTCTTCGCTCTCACCTGCAGTTTCGCCAAGGACTTCGGCTGAGGGCTGCTCTACAACACTATCGGACCTGAAAAGTCATATCTAAACCAAGCCCGAGGAATATGCACAGATAGACATGGGCAGCAATTCTCACTCGGGCAATCCCGATCCTCTGCCTTTCCCCTGCTTGTCTTCATTCAACGAATCAGGGCTGAGCATATCCAGACTAGACATAACCACCTAGTCCAATTATAGCGCACCTATTGACCTCCGCGGCATCCTCGTTGTTCGCCTCCGGACTCGCTGGGACGGGTCCCTCAACCTTAGCTTCATCAGCTAACTCACCATCAACAAGTTGACTGAGCAAAGCCGCTACCATACAGCGTTATCCTCTCTAGAAGCGGATCTCACCTCTCAGTCTGGGGCGGAGGACCAGTCTTGACATCATCCTTTCCTGGCGGGGGGCCCTCGGTTGCCTCCTCCACTTTCGGTGTATTAGCGACTGCTGGGCTGGTCGGCTCGGCTATAGACGTCTCGGAATGGTCATTGCCTCCTTCACTTTTCTCCATGGGAATGCTCATGGGCACGGCTCCCGAGCGTACCACTACTCCTTGGAGCTCCGCCACATCCTTCCTGCAACGACTACTCTCAGCAACAACCCTCCAATACCCCAGGCGGCACCTCATCTGGTCCGGTGTCTGCTGTGGCAATGAGCCCGCACTGAAATGATGCAGTCTGGATCTCAAGGCAGCGAGGTCCTTGAAATCGCGCTGGTAGAGGGCATGCACCCCTACATCCAGCAGAACATCAGGATGCTCATCCATGAGCTGAATAGAACTCCATACTTCAGAGCAATACCAAGTCTAGCGTCTACCTGCAAGGCCGAGGGCCACTCCTTGATAGCAGCCTGACCGTATGGTGTGACGCAGGCCGAAGCCAGGACTGCCCGTCCGAGGCCTCCAACGTCCACCTCCTGGGAGCCCGCCCCAGCCACTCTACGAAAGAGCAACTTCGCACTACTAACATCAGGCAGGAGCTTGAGGAAGCCAGTGAGGCACTTGGTAAAGGCTGGTAGCCGAAGCCCAGCACATGCGTCCACATCACCAGATTGTGTTTGCAGGAAATGCCTACGAGTGACTTCACCAAGTGTGTGCCTCCAGTGCCAACGACTACTTATGTATCGTCTGAGTAGCCCGATTCAGCCAGGTCTCTCCGAGGACTCTCTGTGCTCCGTCGTGACTAAGCAGAAATTTGTCGGCCTCTTCCGGTGGCGTCTTCGTAGGTGCAGCCAAGCCCCCAGCAAGGCTCAGTACACTCCCCGCCCTACGACAGACGGACCATTCTCCCGAGTCCACCACCGATCGGCTCACCGATGCTTTCCAGAATGTCCCTTTGTTTTGCCGCTACCATGAAGCCGTTGGCCCCCCGAGGACGAGTCAAGACTAGCATCGGAGGAAGCAGAGGCCATGTTGTACAGCAACTCCGTATGCACCTGACGCCCTCCCCCCTAAACTGGGCGAGTAAGCTCAGTCATACCGGTTGTCTGGACTCTGCTGTTTGCTGCTGCTGTTTCCGGGAAGCAGTCCTTCCTTCTCGGTTCCACGACTTGTCCGCAACATATATAGATTTACCATCAGGCGACAAGGCAAAGCCAGGAGGGATCATGGGCTCGTCTACAGGAGCAAGGCCAGCTTTCCAAATAAACAAACCTGACCCCCTACCCGGCAGCTCTCTACTGCTCGGATCAAACGACTCAATAGCCGATCGTACATAACGGCGGACCAGTTTGCGGACTGTACCACATCGTACTCCGTCAAAGTCCAGGAGGGGCCTACCGCCGCAGCCCACTCGTCTGAGCTCATGCTCATCTTGTCGCTCGCCCCTCTAGCCCCCCCAGGCAGGGTCGCCAGATTCATAAGGTGCTGCAGCATACTCTGCAACTGCCGTGCTTCCGGATGCTCCGGCAAAGGAACGAGGACACCCTGAAAGAGTATTGAGACGCTCAGGAGAGGCGGCCTTCGGGTACCCATTGTGACCATGGTCTGCACTCCAGCGGATCCACGCCATAGAAGGCGCATTGGGCGATGAGCTCTATGGCTTGAGGCAGCCGTATTGGGTGCTCCATACTCGATATGAACTCCTCTGAGGAGGCACATGATAGTGACAGTACGTGAAGGAAGCCCACCAGCCACAGCTCGAGGCGTTATATGAGGTATGATCTTCGCATCACGCAAGAACGTGAGGAGGTTCAGGAGCGCTATTGCTGGCGATGTGTCCTGAGAGTACACGGTAACCGCGACACCGGAAGGTCAGCCCACCTGGTGCCCTCGAGAGGAGCTATGACGGGGATGCTTGAGAGACGATGCTCGGCTGACACTCTGATGGCAATACCTACCAGGATGAGGCCATCACTACTTCGTCTACACTACTACGACCTACTGCAGATACATAACTTCCATTGGCTTGGCGAATGCCTTCACTAAATTGGAGCACTCCTCAGCCGCAGCTCCTTCCAAAACCAGTACAGCCCCCTTGTGCCGCGCGCTCTTCAAGGCACCATCATCTGAGGAACTCATCGCACGGTGACTCAACATTAACCAACAGCACCTTCCGTAAGAGACTTGGTAGCTCTGCTGGCCTCTTTCGTGGGAGGATCCCCCACTACACAAGGGCTCCTGAAGTAGTGGCATAAGTCATCATCAACAGAAACAATATTGGAGGAATATATGTTCATTCGTCAGCTAAGCTCAGGAGGAGTTTCCTTACTTATTACAGAAATTAACGCACGAATATGGGTAGAAGTGTACAGAAATCAATAAGAAATTCTTAAATTTTCCTCAGAATTTCCATATTGTCACTGACACATGTAGTTAACAATGTGCTAATTTTTCCACACTAAACGGGAAGGGAATAGAATACCTCGTTGGCACCGACTTGCTGCTGCCGCTGCTCTCCTGCTTCCGCGGGGCCGCCGCACGGGCTGATGCACTAACGGGCAGGGCCAACTTAGAGACAGGGGATGCCCTGGCGAGGACAAGCTAAATTCACTGGAAATGGGCGCGTTCTTCCCCTACTCGGTGCCTCTCTGAAGTTGACCACCTACCGCAGCCACCTTGTCCACCTTAGCCTCCAGATCCCGTATCGCTGACTCCAACGAATCTACACATGACGCAGGACTGATGCCAACGGTAGACTCTACCATCCCTACCTTCCCTCTCCTTATGCTTCTCAGCCATGACGCCGATCTGCATCTCCAACTCTCTTATACGGGCAGTAGCCTTAGAGCGAAAACTATCCAGCGGCCCCCCAACGCCCAGGCAGGGTCCTGGCAGGGCAGCCTGCTCGAGATCAGAGGCCTCCGTCTGAGGGTCAGGGGTGTCCTCCTGGAGATCCTCCAACTCCGGGAAGGCTCTAGAGGCCCGTAGCAGGTTAGGATGGAGGGCGGCGTAGGTAGAGCGATACGCAGCGCACAAGTCGGTGATAAGGCCAAGGACGACGGAGCGGAGGTGGCTGTCCTCTCCTCGCGAGCCAGCACTAGCCATAGTAGACACAATAGAGACCACCGCGTCAGCCGATCCTGGCCCTTGCAGTAAGGAGGGCAGTATCTAAGAACCACCTCATGCACCAGTGTTCGAGTATATGTCCGCTCCCCTCAGTTGAGCTCAGAAGTAACCTCACTCACTATAGAAGTTTACATACGATTTCTGGTGTACAGAAACCAACAATAATTCCCTCAAAGTTCGAATATCGTTACCAACACATGTGCATATTTTCCCACAATGTCATGCACTGTTGCTGTAAGCCACGAGGCTCCTACCACGACAAAACCACTACTGGGCACTGACCTCTTTAAGACATCGCTCCGCTGCTGCCGATGCAAAGGCCGCACTGGTTGCATACCGTGTTGACAGTTTCTTAACGATCTTCCATTCAACACTGTCCACCTCTGGAGGGTCCGATACCATGTGTTTGCATGCTACCTTTAAAACCTGAACAGGGCAAGATGCCCCATGCTTCTCAGCCGACTCGACCCACCTCTACTGCGGCTGCCTCCGTAAGTCGGGGGTGATGGACTATGGACAGCAACAGGTCCTTTTCACTCTCCTTTATTGGGATCATCTCGTCACCGCTGGTGTTCCTCTCAAGGAACAGCTTACAGATAGGCTCCGACAGGACACAGACTGGGAGGCACGGTAGCTTCTGGAGGGCCTCCGATATCAACGATGTTATGAAATCAGCGTAGTCTGGAAGAAGCTCTGGAGTGCCTAGTGACACTATGAGGGAGTACACCAGGGACCTCCACACAGCTGGTGCCATGGCCTCATCCTCTTGCCGACACACGTACTCCAGTATAGACACCAGCGTGCTGGCCGCAACGTACGGTAGGTGATCCCTCCCATCACCAGAGCCCTGTGAGGCCCTCTCTTGGAGTGCGAGCAGAACTTGTTCGGCTTGCTCTGTGTAATTAGCCTTAGCCGATATCAAACCAGATACCCAGAGTTCGCCAAGGAGGGCAGCACACCCTGCACAACAACAGTGTCTCCTTCTGACCAGCTGATCTAGGAGGAAGTCCACTACAGGGGACAAGGCGTAGAAAGGCTCCCCATGCTGCGACAGGGAGGCCACCAGACTGTGGGCTACTGGGAGGAACTGTGAATGGGTACGGCCGAGATGGGAGGAGAACAATGTCACCAAGGAGGCCCCATCCCGGTGCCAGATTTGGAAAACGGCCGAGCTCAGGGAGCCCCTAGTCTCCTCATTATCACTGTTGCGTATACACGTCGTGATGCTCTCGATGTACCCTTCCCTAGCCAGAGTATTCACAAGGTAGTCTTCCCTTGGGCACCGAGATGCTGCCAAGTACAGCAGACCAGCAGCGGCAGCATTCACCTCATTACCATACATATTAGTATCAAGAGCAGGAACTGCTACCCTGCACAAGGTAGATAACGACAGTTCCGTTATCCGATGTGGGAGTACAGCAGTAAACCATTGTACAAGGGACGCTGATGTGAAGGGGTAGATCTCGCCACTACTGACCATCCTCATGATCGCTGCCTCGTCCAGCGAGCCAGGTTTTGCTAATTGTAACGTTGTCAGAGCCGTGGAGACTATAACGCCCAAGACTGGGTCCAACGGCGGTAGTGTAGACTCCTCCATATCAAGCTCTTTAAGAAAGGCCGACTCGTGGAGGCCAGAGGTAGTCTCCTCTTTTTTGATTGGAGACTGCTCTGTGGTGGTTAGAAAGGTGTGGCCTCCCAACGACTCTCCACTAGGAGACCCAGACGGGCTCTTCTGCGCACCACTAGCTTGGACCGTAGGAGAGTCCTTAGGGGTTATTCGCTTCCTAGCAGTAGTGGGACCGACGGGAGGCAGGGGCTGTGTTGTTGACTGCTCAGCAGTTGCCTTTGAACTCCCCACACTTGCTGTGCTGATTTCATTGACCGCATCCGGCGAGAGAGGCCGAGAAGTTACGCGGGCACGTGGCTGAAATTATGATGATGAGTATAATCCGAATTCATCCCAAGTAGTAGTACTACCTTTTCTGTTCGAACTGGACTAGTTTCCCTACTCCTACGTCGCGATGCTGCAGCATACCTAGTAGTAGATCCAGTATGAAGAAATATGCACATGCATGTGTTGGTGACATTGTGGAAATATTGGAATTTCTCATTGGTTTCTATACACTTCTGTACGATTTCTCATGTGAACTCCTATAACTAGTGAGGAAACTCTCAAGCTCAGGTGAGAAAACGTACATATATTCCGCCAACACTTCCAACTACTCTATACAGTGACCCTCGGTCATACCCCTCCCTCCTCCTCTCAATGCTTTTCCCTCTGTCCGTCCTTTTTGAATGCTGCTGTTGGTAAGCCCGTAGAATAGTGTAAACCTATATAGAGCCCAATTCGCCCTCGCCCAGAAACGTTTTTCCATTCTACCTCCAAGAGCAGCTCTACTGCCAACGACTCGTCCTTCTCAGCTGCCAGGTCTTGGCAGATGGTCTCATCCAGGGTAACATCCAAGTGCTCCGACAAAGCCTCCGCCACCACCTTCCACCTCACTGACGGGTTCTTCGCGTTTCCAGATGACGAGATTGCTGATCTCAACGAGGGGCTAGGAGTAACACCAGCTCGGTCCAGAACCTGCAATTCCAAATATAATCTTCCGTATGCATAATGGAAATTCTGAGGAAATTCTCATCGATTCCAGTACATCTCTACACGTACGTAAACTTATATAATTAGTGATGAAACTCCTAAGCTCAGCTCCCTCCAACACTGCCCAAACTGACCGCTACTACTACTACCGCAGCAATAGCTTCAGCTATCATACTCCCTCCCATAAGCTGTTGCTTGGTCCTCTGACTCAACTGCACCGACTGCTCCGTCCCCTGTTCGGCCTGTCCAAGATCTACTCTCTCCTTCACTACGCCCAGCGATATAAGCCATCGGACTACCCCAGCAGGAAGACTCAATACACCCATTAGAACTACAACCCCACTGCCACTCCCTGCATTCTGACAAACTCAAACCACGTCGGTGAAAAAATTCCTATCACGAAAACTCGGCAAATTTCGATTGCTCATGGTAAATGCGGAGCTACACGCTCAGCAATTTACTACTATTCTTCCTAATACACTCGTTTGGCAGGGGGCACATGGTGCATCTCACTATCCAAGGGCTGGTCCACCACTGGTCTATACTTCAACGTTATGTCCGAGTCCTCAACGTTATGCTTGGTTTGATACGACAGGGAATGCTTCATCCACTCCACATCGTCCCTCTCAGGGAAGTCCTCCCGGGCATGAGCTCCTCGAGACTCCTTCCTGGCCTCTCCAGAGATGATCGTTTGAGCGGCCTGTGTTATGAGGTTCTCCAGTTCGAGGGTCTCGATAAGATCAGTGTTCCACACCAACGTGCGGTCTTTGATGCCGATATCCTTGTACTCCTTCATAATTTCACGTACCTCCTCACACCCCTTTTCCAGGTCATCTCCATTTCTGTATACAGGAGCACGAGTCTGCATGGTCCTCTGGAGTTTGCTTCGGAGGTCAGCAGTTGACACTGGGCCCTTAGCGTGTCGTATCTTATCAAACCTGTCAATGGTGGCCTCACCAGCGTCCTTAGGGAGGGCTACTGGAGGCGAGTTAGGCTTCACAATCTCGGCCACAGTATCAGCAGCAGTACGACCGAATACGACCAAGTCCAGCAGAGAGTTGGCCCCCAACCTATTAGCACCATGAACGGAGGCAGAGCCAGCCTCCCCAGCGGCCAGCAGGCCAGGGACGATCCTACTAGGGTCCGACGAGGTAGGATCAAGGCACTGGGCCTTCCAATTGGTAGGGATTCCTCCCATATTATAGTGCACTGTAGGCAGGACCGGAATAGGCTCCTTGGTGACATCAACTCCAGCGAAGATCTTGGCCGTCTCTGAGATACCAGGCAGCCTCTCTCTGAGAGTCTCGGCAGGTAGGTGGTCCAGATGCAGATAAATGTGGTCCTTGTTTGGACCAACTCCTCGGCCCTCGCGTATCTCAAGTGTCATGGCCCTAGATACCACATCCCGCGAGGCCAGGTCCTTAGCAGTAGGAGCATACCTAGCCATGAACGGCTCACCTTCACTGTTTCTCAGGATTCCACCCTCTCCACGGCAACCCTCAGTCATAAGACAGCCAGCTGGGAATATACCAGTGGGATGGAACTGTACGAACTCGAGGTCTTGAAGTGGTAGACCGGCTCGAGAGACCATGCCGCCTCCGTCACCAGTACAGGTATGAGCACTTGTGCAGCTCTGGTAGGCCCTGCCGTAGCCGCCGGTAGCAATAACAGTCTGGTGGGCGCCGAAGCGATGGATCGACCCGTCCTCCATGCTCATTGCGATAACTCCCTTACAGGAGCCGTATTGGTCCATGATGAGGTCCAGAGCAAAATACTCTATGAAAAAGAGACAATCGTACTTGAGAGACATCCCGTATAAAGTGTGGAGAATAGCGTGGCCGGTACGATCAGCAGCAGCAGCACACCTATAGGCCTGCCCACCCTTGCCGAACTTGAGACTCTGGCCACCGAAGGCTCTCTGGTAGATCTTACCCTCCTTGGTTCTGGAGAACGGCAGGCCGTAGCTCTCGAGCTCGAGGACGACTTGAGGGGCGAGACGGCACATGTGTTCGATAGCATCTTGGTCCCCGAGCCAGTCGGAGCCCTTCACAGTGTCATAGGCATGCCAGCGCCAGTCGTCCTCCGTCATATTGCCGAGAGCAGCATTGATACCTCCCTGAGCAGCCACTGTGTGGGAACGAGTTGGGAAGACCTAGCACGCAAACGAGAATCAATTGCAGTAGTGCTGGTTGCATAAACTCACTTTAGAGATGCAGGCGGTTTTAAGCCCATGAGCAACCAGGCCAGAAGCAGCTCTAAGGCCAGCGCCGCCAGCGCCAACCACAACAGCATCGTAGAAATGGTCATGAACCTGTGAGAGAACGAATTCAGAATTTCCCCCAAGTGACCGGAAAGTTTGCCTCGTATCCACGAATAGTCGACGTGCTGACGTGCCTAACAGCACTCCAGCCCGAACGAACTCCACCGGCAAGCTTGCTCAGCATGGTGGGTAAAACGGAAATATCGTGGAACCGATCTTGAGCTGGTGCACCAGCGATTGCGCGATTTTCTCCGAGTTGTACTTGTTTTAACACGCGTAAAAACGGTCGTGCGCTCGTCACCGTGTACGCAGTCGCGTTTTTGGAAGCCGTCACAGGCGATAGGAATTAATCGTTATCTTTATGGCGATCCCCAAAGTCGATAAACCTCATGAGGAGACATCAACGTAAGATGGGAAGGCCTGGGGACGGCGCGGCTAGCAGGACTGGCATGGCGCGAAGGAAGCCGACCGCGTTCAAAACCTGACGAGGCCATTCGCACTCGGATGAATTCGAGGATGTTCTGGCCGATGCATTTTCTCAATGAAATTTGGCACATCTTGCATTCACCATTGTCGCTATAGGAGTTTCGTGAATATGTTGCAGAGGAATTCGGCGGTGGCTATTGCATATTTTGTGTATTTACTCGTATTGTCAGGGGGCCTTCGTCAAGTGGTAAGAAGGGATTTACATCTTGGATATCATCTCTACTTTGCGGCGGCTCTCGGGCTGATAAGATAGACACGCCAGTGCATGCTCGGACACGCAGAAATGAGAACGATTATGTAGTTGGGTTGCAGATCCGCTCTGGTGCACATGTTGCGGTGTTAGTACGGATCTGGCAGCAGCCATAGAGACGCGCAGCCTCTTGCAGTGGATCCTTCGACTAAGGCGCCGATCAGGACCGTATACGACTCAAGACGAGGCAGAGGTTTGCCGGACTCTTTCTCTCCACATCGGCTAGTACTACTACCGCGATCGACGCCTGTGACCTGCCCTTTACGGTCGTTCTTGATGTAGGCGAATAACGTCGAAGGCTCCCAGTACCGGTCGGCATCGGGGTCTAAGGTGCCTCCGGGGGACTTGTTACCTGCGGTTACTTCACGAACTCATCCCGAGGTAGTAAGGAAGTCCATGGGCAGCTCATAGATCGATTGCTGGGAGACTTGGAATTGATAAATCTAAGCAACGGTGGACAATTTAGAGTGTTTCGCGTTACCTGGGAGGCGCTTGAACTCGCGCGTATCTTCAGATGCGCATGAGCTCTAGAGAGATGCGGGATATATTCAAGTCGATGGCAAGACTAGCTGACCAACGACGGCTCACGGGGAAGCATGTGCAGAAAGGTGGCAAACTGATCTGTGTCGGTGTCAACAAGAACGACCTCGAAAGGGCACATGTAGTCATCGTTGATACTAAGCCCGACGTTTTACCGTGATGATTCTCAGGTCCACGTACCTCTTTCTAAGGGGTATCCTTGGCTCACTAAGAGCTACTCTTACGGGCCCATTGGGGGTAACTCAGGGAGAACAGCGACTACGACAGCGACCCCCGGGGGTAGTGGCAGCTTTGCTGGGTAGGAACTCAAGTTACGGTATCATTCATCGTGTAAAGAGCTTTCAGTTATGACACGCCAACATTGCCTAAGAGTTCTCTGGGTGGCATCGGGCGGACAGATTTACAGAAAACTGTCAAGTACAGGTATACACGGACAAGGAAAGGGGTAGTAGTACTGACAGAAATCAATTGCGGGAAAATTTTTGTTACATTTCAGGTTGTTGACGATGGTCTTCCCCCTGTGACTTTACGTAGACGGTATTCGTTGTGAACACTGCACAGCGATAAGAATGTGGTAATATTATATTCATAATTCGACGAGTTGTCAAGCTCGGCGGCGTCCAAGGCGGCGGCAACAGCAGCAGCATTGAATAGAAAGAAGATTCTCTATCACTGTCATCATCTCGGCCAGCCACTTTTTACTCGAAGAACCGTCATGTATGATGGTGAACGTTTGCCTTATTGGCTTTCTGGAAATTTTGCCTTTTACGATATTCTAGCTGCTATCGGCTAAGTCGTCCTCTTCTCCTACTATTACTAATGCTGCTTGCTACGCCCGTGCTACTGTATATTTACTCTGTTGGGGCAGCTTTCCTCTGTGTCGGCATATATTTTGTATCATCTGTCGGGTATTGAGATCATCTGTCCCTAATTCGCGGCGATCTATGGCAAGTATAAGAGTTTCAGTGATAGTAGTAATAGTAATAGTGCCACGGTATTTTCTGCCTCTGCTGCTTTCGCCTTGTGGAAATACTGTCGAGTCTGATTCGACAAGAGATTTTACGATTTTCGATTCATAGGACATCGGTGTTATAAGTTGTACATGTTCATTATTCTGCTTTTTCCGAGAAGCCTCATTGGTTTTCTACCCTACAAGTTGCTGATTAATGACACAGAGTCTCGACAGTACATGAAGTCTACGTCATAGCCCTGATGATGGTATAAGAGTTACTGTATAGCAGTGGAGTTAGTTCTTATATTCACTACTGTTGCGTCTTTGGAGAAGTGTGTCGAGAGTCGCTGCTTTTGTGGTGATCATATTGGGCAGTTCGCAAAGCTGTACGAAAGAGAAAAAACTACGTATCATTGTTGTTGTTGTTGAAGTTCCAGTTGTATCCTTTCGCTGTTTTTCTTCGTCTTCATTTCGTTTTTTCCGTTTCGTACTACGGTGATGCTTTCAGTGTCGCTCTTATTATTGCATAGTGGAGGAATGCTGGTTACGGTACTAGTAGTAGTTATTGTTGATATAACTACTATCGTTGGCATATTCTCGGTGATGCTTGTCTGTCGTTCATGCCGAATCTATGCGGTAGAGGTATAATAATGATGATGCCAACTTCTGTATTGAAGCCCAGGAAGGCTATTCTCTGTATGTTACGGTATCATCGATGTCCATTATGATGATCATAAGCACTAGTACTATCTGATATTTGCTTATCCTAACGGTGGTTGCGCCCAAGGTGCTGTTGGTAGTGTCACACTTGACGAAGAAAAAGAAGAAGGATTGGTCATAACTTCCCCGCTTCCTTCCTCTTCTTTTGATTGTTTCGCAGTCAATTGGTATTCGATTCGATCCTAGTGCACGGGAGTGTTAAATCGGTACGTAATAGCGAGACAAACTCCGGCTTAGAGACTTTCACACGGGGGTAGATAGCCGATGTAGTGGCCATAACAGCCACTAGTGGCAACATGTATCGCTTTCGAGCTCTCGTTTGACCAGTTCTCAGCACTAGATCATACAGGACTGTTACTGAGCATATGAGGGGAAATATTCTCCCACGCTGTGTGAGGCTCAGCTCACAATGGACTGCTCCGATATAAATAGTAAATATAATGATAACTAAATGATATGCATATAAATATATTTATCAGGTATTAATAGATGTTATATGGATACGTTATAACTTACTGATATACAATGTGTTCGATTTTGATAGCCCGAAGCGAAAAAATGTTGTAACTTGGCTAATTCGACGATTAGGAAACCCGAACATCTCGAGGTCTATAAGTAAGCAATATATCAATATGTAGAATCATCATCGATCACTAACCGTTGCACTATAGTATTTTTTGCTCAATCATTCATATGAGTTTCAAAGTCGTTTACCACCCGGATGGTGTTATCAATCATGGGTAGCAAGCGGTGCCTTCACTCAGTTATATGTTTCTTTTCGACCGCTGCGTATCGAAGCGAGCTCGGTGAGTCGTTCTGCCCACATAGTTTCCTTTGTAAAGTTGCACACATGAGAAGAGTCATTTGTTATCATTTGGTGACCATGTGAGGTTATCCCTCGGATTTCAGGGCCACGGACATGCACGGTCCCGACAACAAAAGTGATGTTGAAATGCTTCCAGTCGACGAAGCACCGCTAAGAACACGTGTCCAACATAAGAGGGTGAGATACGCTTCGCCTCATCACTGGTCGCACTTCTTCGCTAGGGTTTCCACTCGAAAAGAACTAGGAAGGAGATCGCCGATCTAATGCGGCGCCGAGCAGCCTTCCGAGCTTTCGCTGGCAGTCACGTCATGATAAAGGGCAGACTAGTGTCTTGTGGAGTTAACCGTTTACACTTAGAGAGAGCTAATGTGAGATAAGCGGCATTCCTCACCTAAAACACTTCTAACACTCCAAGGTTAATGCGCGCTATAGAGCATACTAAGTATGTGAGATGGAAAGAAATACACTCTGTCTGTGCCGGACTCAATTCATGGGAGGACGAGGTCGTCTTTTTGCGTTGATTCACTCAGTGTTTGCTCTCCTCAGCCCAGCTTAGAAGTTCACTAGAGTTTTAAAGAAGTTTGCATGAGTATTCGGGTAGAAGTGTACAGAAACCAATGAGAATCTCCCGAAATTTTCTCAGAATTTTCATATTGTCACCAACACAGATATGCACTGTCTACATTACACGATCGAGCTTTGCTCACACTAGCTTAGCATTATCACTGCATTCTCTCGACTACTTTCACTTTTCTATCTGCTCTATTTCATTCACTATGAAGCCAATCTACTCGGGCGAGATAGTGCATGTAGTTGACCATGTGCATATTTCCCAACATCTACTAGAAAGTTGATAGTAAGATTGAGTTCAGATACAAGTACCTCTCCATGTAAGCTACCCCTGGCTGACGAACTCGCATTAGATTCATGCTTGTCTACCAAAATTTGATTACCAAATCAGCTTTGTCTGATCCGAACTCCCAAGCCTCATTCGCCGTTCATAAGAGCGATAGTGAACTGACTAGGCTATCACCACAACGTTCGTCTTGTGTATAGTACTTGTTCAATTTCATAGTTTCTGTATTCACGTGATAATTTAGTCTCTTAGCGTTTCCCTGTTAGATCCACCGATGTCAACTTAGGCCAACTCAAAACCAGATGATTAGGGAATAATGATAATGATGAGCCCTAATCAATCTCGGGGTTGTCCAGCATGCTTCGTGACGGTTATAAGTATCCAATGGTCAGAGAAGGATACAATGAAAGATATGAATAACGCACACAGAGGAAACTACTGAACAATGGGTTGAAATAAATCAATTTTTATATAGATATTGTCGGTATCTTACAGGCTGAGAGTAGAGTAGAACTAACCCGATACGCTGAGGTAGAGGACATCGTGCCGTTGAGCCTGACGGTCTGAGAGGTTATTTCTGGGATGAGATCGACCATCAAGTTACATCTCTTGAAATGACGCTAGACAAGACTGTAGCGGTCAAACATGGAGAAGCGACAAAAGTCCGTCTTGGCAAAGCATTGCAGTAGCATGTTGCTCAGGTGCGACAAGTAGCTGGTAAAATGAAGGAAATCCAAGCCAAGTTTGCTTCTGGAGAGATAGCCTCTGACCGATTCAAGGTCCGATCAGCTGGCCTATTAGTCTTGGCCATTTTCTTCATTGTAGCTAGAGGACTTCTTGTGTCAATGCGAGCAGTTCCCTTTGGGGTGCCGGCCTATCACTTTAGCAGAGCTGGGCGCGGGTTTCCCCGTTTACTTCGATTTTATGAAGTACGCGCTCACTCGCAGTCTATGAATCCTCTTGTTATTCATTCAGGGCGCTCCGGAACCTGGTCGTGATGCTCTTTTTGGTGAGCCCCTCGGCCCCAGTGGGTCGGCCAATGACCGGTCTACAGATATCCATCATCATGTTAGTGTCGAACGTCAATGCGGACTCGATGGACCTCATGATACCTATAGGGCAGCCCAAGGTGAAGCTGGCTTGGTTCACAGCAGGCGAGCCGTGACCCTAGATATCTTCCTCCTGGCTCACTCCTGGGAATCATGGTCACTACGGTAACGAAGGCCCTGAGTTGTAAGCAAGTTAATCCTGGGTATCCCGTACCAATGCTAACATGTGTATTCTATTTGTTCAAGCGATCTCATTCAGGAGCCTAGCAATAACCCTCATGGTGTTATTGACGATGGCATTTTCAGTAGGCTTCGGTAGATTGTGTAAACTGTAGTGATTCTCATAGGTACATTACTCTCGAAGGATTAGGATTCTTGAGTCGACATGTGACGCTCTTACAGGTTAGTCAGGGGTCTTTTAGGCATTCCCCAGTGCAGTGTGGAAGCATATGTTCGTTTCTCTAAGCTGAGCTTAAGGCGTTCTGGTCCAGAAACCAATGACAACTTGCCTAAATCTCTTCCGAATTTCCATGTTGTCACCAACACGTACACGTAGTTGACTATGTGCATATTTTCTAGCACTACTACAGTGCATGGGCTCAGACCATCCCAACGACTATGCCGTTTTCGTATCGGGACTCCCACACAATGCAACCGACGAAGCCGAGATTTCCGACTTCTTTCACAGGAACGCGGTTCGAGATAGAGGAGTGGAAGTGGGAACAGACATTAACCGCGTCGTACAATGAGTGTCATACAGGTTGTCAAAGCGCTAGTTTGCTTCGAAATAACACAACTGTTCGCTGCTGTGAAACAGAAGAAGCGTGCTGAAATGAATCTTTCCCAGGATCCAGGCAACCCGCATCTCCAGGTTAAAACATCGTCTCGAAACTCCATCCAAGGAGCTCTCTCAGGCTGAGGTGGTGGCCGCGAAGGAGGCCCTCGCCAGTGTTGCTCCTGACAGGGCGGCCAAGATACAATCATCAGGTCACGCCGTAGTCATTTTCAGGTATCAACTCAGATCATTATGCCCCATCGGCGAGGTGGGGCTGGGGTCTCAGATATCAGAAGGACCATCGTGCCTGTTTACGCTACTGGAATGGCATAAGCCGCCGACTCGTCAATATGGTAAACTCAATATTTTCAATACCACACTTTTCCCCACAGTTAATGAGTATCGGCCTGGACTGTACCTGCCTCGATAGTGCTCCGCGGTTCAGAGGCTGGTAAGGGGGATGATTGTTTAGGAGCGCAGATGTTCAACTCTCAGCCGACTGAAGGTCAAAAGGGCTCCAAACCCGACTGATTTTCAGTGGGAGAACCTTGGTGTCACATCGCAAGAGCGGCGGACAGCTCAGTTCACCACTTTGGTGAGGCTCGCAATGTGTCTGATTGCCTTGCATACGGCCACCATTTTCAGGCATTTATATCTGTTATGATAGCTGCCTGTGGTCTGGCTTGCTTTGGGTTACAAAAGCTTCAAGAGGGAATAGCAGAAGACGGTGGTTCGGCTATATTGTAAGGCAGTGGGTTTACAATGGGCAGTTCAATGACCGCAAAGTCTCCGGGATGAGACCATCGTTGGTATCCGTTCCCAACTGGGCTACATGCATACTCTGACAAGAAACTCACAAGTCTATACAGAACCATTCAGAACGGCTCGAGATGTACAAAAAAACCTGTGAAAACAATACCGGTAGCAGGTCATGAAAAAATGAGACCCTGACCAGTTTTCGAGTATCTCAAAGTGAAAAAAACTACGATAATACTAATAATGAGGTATTTCATTGCAACAATAACTCTTCGGTACTTCAACATACCGTACAAGTGCTGCCTTGTTCCAAGGTCCCTCCTCCCGGCTCTAACGATCGCCTTCCTTAACTGGCTCATCACGAAGTTGGCGTATAAAAGTGTTATTCATGAACGCCATTTCACAGTCTCAGCTAAAGACAGTGGGCCCCTTGCACCCGGCTCCAGTTCGTCGCACCTGAGTTCCAGGTAGCATAATGACGAAGCTGAGCTTTGCCTATGTGATGAACACCGCGGTTGTGCTCTATGCTGTGAATGCTGACCCTATTCATTGGTATAGGGCTGGAGGCCTGGTCCCTGATGTCTTCATGACTATCCTAGTTAATTCTGTAATCAAAGCGCATTCAACTGATACACTTAAAGGGAGCTCAAAATTAGACTCTCGCTCGGCATCGACTGACTCTGCATATTTTAGAGAATAATTCAAATTCGAAGTCCTGGGTGGATCCTTTGACATCATCTCGAAACACTCGCTATTAGTGTCCTCGATCCACAACGCATGCTGTGCAGACCGAGATTGAGATATGTGTCTCACTGCGTAACTATCCACGCTCTAATTCGACGCAGATCCTCCCACCTGCAATGGCGTTTCTCGACCTCGGTGGAATCATCCGCAAAAATGTCATCAAGAAAATCGACCCAGAAAAGAGCAAACTGAGACAAGAAAAGTAAGACGGGGAAGCTAGCATTGCGATGAGAGTAACTACGGAACATCAGATACAACAAGCTTCATGAGGGGTCCGATATGGACATGGCATTAAGGTTCAAAAAGCACATGAAAACATGGGGATAGTCGTAACTCAGATATGCATACGCGATGAAGACCTACTTTCTGGGCATCATGTTTACTCCAATAGTTCCCGTGCTCCTACCTTTGGTAGCTCTCGGCCTTACCTTGCAGTATTACAGCACCAAGTAAGTAAAGATGTGTCCAATCTCTCTATCCTTGCCTGCTATTATCTCGGTGAATTACGAGTATGGTAACGAGGTACTTACTCTTACGCAAATGTAAACGGCCGTACACCCAGTCTGCCAAGTTAGCTAAGCAGGCCATGTTGTTGGTGGAGTTATCCTCGGTGGTGAGCCCTGAGGAACCTTCCATACAGTCTTTACGAACCTGGAACTCAGTTGCTCGCGGTGATGGGCCTCATCTTTATTCGCCCGTCTGTGGCAGAGCGGCGGTTGGCTTCGTTCAGAACTCAGATGGGAATGCTCATATTTTTCAGCTGCACCATTTTCGTGCTTCCCTTGAGGGTCTTAAGGTGAGTTGTATCGCAACGAGTAAAGCGATCCAGCTGGGCATGAGGTACCTCTGTTGTACTTGTCTCTGCCAACAGTCCAAGGCCTCACTTCACCGCGCCTACGAGAGAGCTCCTGACTATTACACTGTACAGTATCTATGGGCGAGAAGGAGCAAGTGGGCGGCGCTTCTTCTTTGGTTCGAAGGTTCGAAGCCTGGTGATAGATACCATATGACCAATCCAGCTTACAGGGGTCTTCCTGAGAGCCTCAACCCAGAGAATCTCAAGCCAGCCACTGAAATCTCACGAGCAGTTAGCAGCTACCGACTCGGTAGAGAATCTCGGGAGCTGGGTGTCGATCTCAGAGAATTCTGCAACGTGCACAGACTCAAGCTCTGCAAGGCAATTTCAACGAGGCCATCACCAACTACGCTGAAAATGCTGCCGAAACCGAGTTCGTTGCCGGAGAGTGTGAGCTACATTTACTCAACGTGTACACTGTTCATCACTTGGAAGCCTGCAGATCCCGTACTGGACCACTGTGACACGAACCACTGGATTAGGTAAGGCATGTTGCTGCAGCAAAAAACCGGTGTCTCGCACGTCTGGGAATGGTGATGGAGTGCTGCATTTCGAGTCTAAACAGATGAGTACAGTAAGGAGAGCACGAATTCGCTGCTCAGTCCGCCTGGTTATGATGTTAATTCACCCAACAACAATAACGCACCCTCAATTCACATAGTTGGCGCATCAGTAGGAATCCAAGAGCAAGAATCGATCCCACTCTCCGATCTCAGGTTCCATCTGAACCTCAAAGCACGAGCTTGCTACCCAGGTGGATCCCAGGCTTGTTCGCTTTAGATTTCCCCGTCTCATCTATTCTGCAGCGAAGTCTTTTTACGCTCTGTGGCTGATGCGATCCGAATGTTTTCCATCGGCAGTATTCATAACTTCTCTAAATGCTGATGTTCTGCTTGTTCAGACCCTCAGCAATCGGGAACACGCCTGGTGTTTCGCTGTTCGGAAGTGAGCAGACACTGCTGGAATTAACACCATCCCTCTCATGCTCAGAACCCGTTGGGGCCTGGGAGTGGAAGGACGCGTCGGGAGATTGGCTGCCTCTACCCCCCACAGCAGCTGAAATTGCTGATGAGGCTCAGCGGAGCGGTGTTCCGAACACTATTATTGACTTGGGGAGTGATGCGCTGCACAGTGGTGACTTAGTGGTGGAATTCGCTCTTCAGATGAGACGTTCATGGTCAACGTTATTGAAGGCACGATGGTTAGCCTGCTGACGAAGCAACAGACCGAGATACGCAGAATTCGTTGACGTCCATTGTGTCATGCATTATGAATGATGTTACTACCGGTGGACTTGTTTGCCTTGCTTGTTATGGTTCCACAGTGGAGGATGTCATCCTGAGATTGGGCTGCCTACCTACTCACAACAATTTGGAGTGTGGTTCCACTGCGCAGTGTGCAATGCCCACTGGTGTCACCAGTCTGGTGATCAGTCTTAGTGGCTGCAGTGGCCCTTTGCATACTGTTCATGAATGGGAAGCCGGTAATCTCGCGGTTAATAGCACATCATTCTCGTCTGCTCTGGACTATCTGACTTAACTGCGACTGGGCGAATTGGGACGAATTGGGTGTCGGGTTGTCTTGGGAAGATATAGAGATCGAATCCTTGTTATATTAGTTTTATAATAAGGGGATATTGCGCCATGTACTACTGAGTATACATAACGAATTGGGCTGAAAATGCACATGCTCACATACCCGGTACAAATTGTGAGGTTTATGGATAAGGATAGCGCCAACGAAGGAAAGACAGGGTCTGTTTTGTTTTGGGGAACTGGTGAATAACATATCGCGAGGTAGTTCTCAGGTACCGTACAGTTGGCAAGAAAAAATACATGAATCTGAAAAGAGTGTTCCACGGCCGAGAATTGAACTCGGGTCTCCTGCGTGACAGGCAGGAATACTAACCTCTATACTACCGCGGAGTTAAATGATATTTGATATCTTGGTATTGTAGAAGTCCCTGAAAAATATTTGCTGCCAAACCTATCACCGTCCTCTTGTTAGCAAGTTGTTGCAATGGGCAACTGTCTCGGTCATGTGAACTCGAGGTGGTGGAAACGCTGCAGTTTGTTACCACCGTCGTAGGAAACTTTCCTAGTGCTTTCATGGCGCGCAGTGGATAGTAAAAAACGAGTTGCCCAGATCGCAAATTTCGTGACGCGACATTGCCGCAGCGTCTCCATCTACTACAGAATACCAGAGACGCGAAATGAATAGAGACACTGAAGCCTTGCGCTCATGGTCATGAGTCATGATTCATGACACATAGTCACCCTTCCATGGCGTACTCAGGAGCGACTATTTGGGGTGTCATACAAAACAGGTTGCTATTCTACTGGCTTCGTTATCACATACCATGGCGAAAACCACACTAACTCCTCGAGATGTATCAATGCACGGTAGATAACTTCAGGCATAATCACGAGCGCACTATCTTGGCTCTCAGGCTCAAATAAAAGATAGCAGAACATTGTGATTGTCTGTTACCCTACACGAAGCTTGTGGAGTGTAGAGTGGTGCAAAAACAGGACCGTGACGCGCTCGCCCGCGAAGCTAGTTACTCTGAACCTGTGTATTTCGTGCTGCTGTTGTTGCTGCTGGTCCTAAGTGTTAGTGTGAGGATTATTGATACCTTACTTTATCATCTATCAGTTGCTGGTGAGTGTGCTGGCTCTTTTTGATCCCATGACGTCCATCGCGGCCTGCCTGGTGGAGGCGGCAGTTCCCATCGTACCTCCCGGAACAAGCCAGGATGGATGTAGCTTCCTGAAAAGACTGTATGCTCCGAGCTCTCTGGCGAGGACGACGGCACCACTTTGATAAGCCATTTGGGTTTCCTCAATCCTCGTGACGTTGCGATCTTCTTCAAGGCCTCCGATCTGAGAGCTGTAGCTAAGGCACGTGTAGGACTCTTGTCCGATCAGTGCAGGGATCATTGCGGCCTAGCTCCTGTCATGAAGACCTCATCTACTTCTTCTCCGAGCTCGAATGCAAACTCTGAGGGCGCAGCTGCGGCAGCGAAACGATTGCGTCTCTCAAGATTCCTGGACGAGGCCGATGAGGGATTCTTCGATCTACTTTCCAGCAACCTATTCCGAGAGAGTCTCGGAGTTCATCAAGGTCCATGGCGATATCAACGTAGACGGGCTCCCTACTCGAGAACAGCTTTCGGCCTTGAGGCCGCGCTGTTAGAAAACGACGTTCTGTACTGCGATTTTAAGGTATGGCAGACTAACCAGAGGTGCCGTTTACGCTAAGTCCGTCAATCTGTCTGGGTCATGAACGCTGAGGGAGAGTTCGAAAGATATCATAGCCTGGGTTGCCATCGTATGACATATGGCGAGACTCTTTTCCTGTTTTCCAAGTTTGGCATGCTGATTCTGAACGAGAGATCCCTGGCCAATTATGTGGTATACTCTTATACAATACAGTGTCTCTGCGATACTTTCTCGATGCATTGAAGCTGTTATGTGTATTATTGGTATGTTATTGGTATTATGGTATTGGTGCTGTTATTGGTGGCACTAGTCTTCTAGTTGGCTCTTGGTACTTCCTTTGCATATCACAAAGGCCAACTTGGCCAGAGGTTGCGGTGGGTAGGCTTCGACTTCGAACTGCATCCATTTGGTGTATCGGTCGCGGTTCCAGGAAGTAAGCTGGCCGACGCGATTCCTCTGGTCCAAGAAGCCCTCTCTGTGGCTCACGCCCCCCCCCCCCCTGTTCGCTACTCTGTAAAGTATAGACAAGTAGCCCCATTATGCTATCGCTGTTGTCCCCGGTGTGGTCAGTCTTCGGTCGGCAGGGTGGTTGGTCGGTGGGGATGAAAAATAAATTCCTCCCCAAATAGGTCCTTAAAACCCCAGGGGAGGAATATACCATAAAACCCCGGGATTAAAGGAGGAATTGGGCGCGCGCGAAGCGCGCTGAAAAATTTGGCAAGAGCGACCTGAGAATTCAAGATCTCGTGACCAATTTCGTTTAGCATATGCGTGCAGAGGACTTGGTGTCACCAAGTTGGTGATATAATATCACTGATACCATAACCGCAAAGAGACTTCGACCGTTCTATATGTGATCTCATTGTGTGTCACATGAGCTATATTATAGGTATAGTATTGTCAAGATCTAGTTCTGTTGCGTTATAAAGTAGCGAACTCGTCACGGCTTGTGAGTCGCATTATCCCGCACGCCTCATGACTGTCTACATGGCGTCACACGCAGCCAGTGTTATAATAATAATATTATCATTAACTCAATAACAATGAACGAGATCCCATCAGAAGATGAATACTTCTATCGGATAGCTTGAGAAGTCCAGCCCGGGATTTCTAAGGATATTTCTTGTCCGAATGGTCCGACGCACAACACAAGCCTCAGTGAAGGAAGAGTTTCAGCGTAAACTCGTTCGAGCGGGAGTGGTATCGTCGAGTGATACCGTATCGACGTTTAGCTGGTGGTAAGCCTGGACTCTGGGAGAGTCTCCGATCTTCCAGCGTGGCATCGATGAGGCTCGCTACCGCCCTCACAGTCGCTGCCACTCTCACCGCTCACTGATGATGCATTGCACTCCACTCCATGCTTATCACTGATAAGTTTGACTATCACTCAATATTGACTTTCACTCTATCACGTATTGACGTCACTGATAAGTTATCAGCAAGATGTCGTCTAAATTTATCTAGATTCTTATGTTCCCACTGCCCAGAAAATTGACATAAGCCATCGGCATTGTGATGTTGAGTCGTGTCGATTGATCGTGATGTGATGGCATCATATTGACATATCCATATAGATTTCATCTCCCCTCCTTCTACCAACCTTATCTCCTTAATGTATCGAGATGGATCGAGAAGTTTAGGATAGAAAACTAAACTTTCTCTAACTTTTCTCTAACTGTAGAAAGTGTACAGTGGTTTCAGTATGGTGTTGGTTTCTACACATCGGACCAAGCTCTGAGCCAAGTGCCTGCGATGAGAGGGCCTAACGGTGGAGCATGTTTGCCGTCGACTGCGTCGGCGGGGCCGTCCCTCTCTGAGGCTCGGCGGTTTGGGCTATTGTCTGGAGAACCCCACCCTTGAGTGGTTATAAGGTTGCTCCGAGAAGTGCAAGCCGCGGCTTTTCACCACATAGTTGCGGAGAAACAAACCATGAAGCGAGCGAAGTGATTCTGTTCAAGGGTTGGCGGCGAGACATCTCTGGTCCCTCACCGCAGCACAGCTCGCTGCTATAAGGCGTAGTGCCAACGGTTTCTTGGGCGAGATTCGCGCAGCTGCATACACGATGAGTGCTTGGTTCATGTTACGTATGAATGAGCTGGTATAGGTGGAGATCAACGATATCAACACAGATGAGGCCAGTGGTTGGGGTTATTGTGCATATCCCCCAGAGCAAGGCGGATCAGCAAGGCAACGCAGTCTACAGGAGTCACGATTGCTCATGTGGTGGGGACTATCGGCACGACCTTATGTCCGACGCAGACTACATTCCCGATCCTTCGACGAAGGCAGGAGGTTGCCAACCTCAGGTTGGGTATGAAGGAGGCGACAACTCTCCTTGGTTGTTCACGTGAGATTCTCACGGTGAGAAGCTATGAAGCAGAGATCACTTTCTGAAGTCCTCCGATCTGGTCTGCAAGGCGTTGGTGTTACAGACAACTACAAGTATTTCTGGCAGATGGCGATCCGCAGCGATCGACCGGTACCCCCAAGAAGCTATGATTCAAACCTATGGGTACCTATGCGAGTCGCGCCATAGCCGCTGCAAGCAGGGGCCCGCAGTATGTGGGAATGACCGAATCGCTACATGACGGGCTGCAGCGGCAACACTACGGTGACTATTTGGATCTGTGTGGTGACGGATTTCCCGATGACTACGTTATACCCAACATGGGCGAGTCAGTGAGTTCCGAACTACTATGAGTATATGTGGCACTGGTGACGCCGGCGACGACGACCATTACGGGAGCACGTCATCGGCTATGTGCTGGAGCCTCCAGCCTGGAGGTCCGAACAGCTGGCGGCAACCGATCCTTGCGAGACCTGGTCACTCAGTTAGAGGCAGCGCTAAGATTATTGGTATGGCTAGTCCCTCTCCTATGCCGATCCTCTGTGGAGTTTGGGTAGTTTCTGGTTGTCTGCATCTTGACGTGCGATCCTCAACTGTGTGAGGATGGCCGTCCGATGGCCACAGATGAAGTCGGCAGGGCGGGACGAGTTGAGTTAACGAGTTTTTGGGTGGGAAGCTGCGATCGGGCCTGTATTTGCATGTTACCCTACACGAAGCTTGTGGAGTGTAGAGTGGTGCAAAAACAGGACCGTGACGCGCTCGCCCGCGAAGCTAGTTACTCTGAACCTGTGTATTTCGTGCGATGTTGTTGCTGCTGGTCCTAAGTGTTAGTGTGAGGATTATTGATACCTTACTTTATCATCTATCAGTTGCTGGTGAGCGTGCCGGCCCTTTTTTGCCCACCCTCTGCCACCCGGTAGTTTCTGGTTGTCTGCATCTTGACGTGCGATCCTCAACTGTGTGAGGATGGCCGTCCGATGGCCACAGATGAAGTCGGCAGGGCGGGACGAGTTGAGTTAACGAGTTTTTGGGTGGGAAGCTGCGATCGGGCCTGTATTTGCAGACCGCAGCTAAGTATTATCTTATACCCGTATCTACCCTTGAGATTGTGTTGCCAGAGTCACTAGCATCGACAACCTATAGTATCAATCGACGACCCGATCACGACTTCGAGTATATTCGTCCACAATGTCTGCATGGCACGCATAGCGATGTCTACCAGACACCGCTATGCGTCGGTGATCACGCAAGCACAAGAATACACTATGCAAGTAAAAGAGGGCGAGAATCTCGAAGGCCTGAAGAAGGTCGATTCGCATAACACTTTGTTATCAACAACAATATAGCGAGTACAGGTTATAAGCGACAGTGGCCAAATTGACAGGCTTCATATAGTTGAGATTGGCAGTGCCAATCCCAGCGTTCACTCTAGCAGCTGAGAGTTTCCCGGACTGCCTTTGAACGCGCTGAGCTTTGCATTCTCCCCTGAGTAACTCACGAGTTAGTCTGGGGCGCCAAACTGCCACCTTCGGAGTCGTTCTACCCCAGAGCCCTTTTTACCCGCCACAGGACGATCCGGTCCGGACCCGGAGCACGCATACCACGGCCTGTCTCCTTGACCCGTTGGCACGCGAGTCGCCGATGTTGAGGGTAAACTACATCATAGAGGACTCTTCA